TGGTGTTAATTTATACACTAAAATTGGTCAAAAATATTAAGTGTTTATTTTAAATTGTGGTAAAATTCATTCGTGTTAATTAAAATTCATTTAACACAGCACCGTGTTAATCTAGTGTTAATTTAAAGATAAACTCGACGCGGTGTACATTTGACACTATTATGTGTTGACAGCTACACAAATTGTTGTAAAAAAAAGTCACGTAGTCATCACCATTCGCTAACGGCAAGGGCGCGATCAGTATTCCGAGTGCAGTTGATGGTAGTGTACCTATGCATGCTATTTTAATTTAAGACCATGGTTTTTAAATTAAAACTCAGTGGTCTGTTGAAGTGGTGCAATGTGACATTGGATGCAACTTATGTTTGTGATAAAACATGTTTTTTTTACCTGTTATTTTTTAATGAAATATGAAATTTGGTAATATTTTAAGTTTTTTGAGCTAGTGAAAAATCATATTTAACTTATATACCTATAGGTATAAGCTAAATATGGTTTTGCACAAACTGGAAAAAACTTACTATTACTACTTTTAATTGAATTTAAAAATTTAGTAAGTAGTGTTTTTTTTAATGTTATGCCAAAGCCTATTTATATTCATATCTAATAGTTTGTAAGTAATATAATAGTTATTTATGTCATTAGGTTAAGAAGTAAGGCCTACAATTGAGCGAAGCACAAAAAGGCACTTCTTGGCCGAATGGCATACAACATTTTATCTTCAAAGCAGTTTATATAGGTCAACCTCACTTTTTTAGAATCTCATTTATTTATTAGCTAAAGATTACATTAAATTGTACAATAATTATTATTGCTTTTAGAAGCAGTAATAGTTTGACAATACCTAGCAACATAATTTAAGTAGAAATGGATTTTTGCTATTAGGTACATTGAATTCAATTAATTGTTTAATAAATAGGTAGGTATCTAATTTCAATTTGTTTGGATTTTTATTTAAAAAATAGGTAGTTTGGAATGGTTAAGCTGTGTTTAACATTTAATTTCACTGAAAACTTAAAGCAAATTAAAACTTAAGATAATTTAAATCGTAGAAAAAGAATCGTGCGTTTTCTTGGTTGCTTAACCTCACTTTTTGTTTTATTATTCATATTTAATTTTACAATAATTTAATGAAAAATATTAAACATTAACAGTAAAACAAACAAATTAGTGCTTATTATAAATAAATTAAACCAGTTTAGTACGTTAATTTCTTAGAAAAGAATTAATTTGTCAAAACAATACCCCTAGCGAGAAAAAATCGAACTATTACTTGCCTCATAAAAATTTTTATCGGCCTAGGCCATAACAAGGTATTTCTTTATCAAATGTTGACAACAATAAAGTTTAAATTATAGACCGCGTGGAGATAAAATATATTTTATTGTACATTACATGTTGTGTTTAATATTAAAACACCCACAATTTTTAACACCTACCTGTGTAGTAAATTACACCAAATTGAGCATTTTCTACTCTTGAATGGAGTTCTTTTACCAATATTGCGTGTTGGTTTTGTAGAGTATATTTGATGATTTTTACACTGTTTTACGAGTTTTTTGTACGAATAGTACGTGTAGATTATTTACCAATTAAAAAGGGTAAAATTTACCAAATTGTATGTGGTTATATATACCATTTCTAGTGTGGACCTATAAACCACTTTTGGTGTTGTTTTTTACCAGAAATTTTATACTGTGTACTGCACCTTAAAATGACTGTTGACAAATGTTATTGATCAGATAAACAGCTGAGCAAATTTTTTTTTGTATCAGCAGTAAAAATTTCCGTGATTCCTCGACGGGCATGTGTGATGCAAATAACTGTTTAAAGTGTGCGAGGTATTAACAGCAAGCAGTCGGATGTGGGTCAGCTTAGAAGATAAGGCCTGGGGCAAAGGCAGGAATTATGTTAATAGAGCCGGTGCACCGTTCAACGGCACTGATTATATTCTTCTCTTGTCTTCTTTGCATCTCTTCTCAACTTTCGGAAATCGCAGAAACGAGGATTTATATGCAAAATATTATTTTACTAGGTAATAACCATAAACAACACTACACTGCAAAAAATAATTAATATAACTGTGTTATTCTAAGTACACACAAAATCGTGTAAAATTTTAACACAGTATCAGTGGGTTGATTTGTTTGTTAAATCGTGTAATAATTTACAAGAAGAATAATAAACTTTAACACCTTTGGTTGATTTGATATGGACTGACCCATACTTTACAAATTATCTCTAAAACAAATCATATTATCAAAAATTTATAAGAGACAAAAAAATTTCAACAATAAATGATTACCTGAAAAAATACTGTTTGGAAGTCATTGGCGCACGTACTAAAAAATAGGGGGAGTCAGTGAGTACTGGACCCCCCTATTTTGATTATTTGACAATTGTTTTTTGTTTTGTTGGTCTCAAAAAATGTAACTATTTATGTTGAAGTAGTGTACCGAATTTAAACTTAATATCTTATCAATTACTCAAATTATTTAAAAAAATCAGTTTTAAATTTCAAACTTTGTCACCCTGTATATCGAACATGAAGCTCTAAATTGAAAAATGGTATTATGAAAGTCTTATTGTTTTAACTCAAGGAATATATGGTTAACGGATTGACCTCCTTTTCCCGGACACCCTGTATATAGGTAAGTTAAGGTTATTTCAAGAGTTTAAATTGACTCTAAATAAACAAACTATTTAACTAGTTAGTAGTATTACTTATAAGTTAAAAAGTAGGTTATTTTAAAAGTTACATAACGTTATATTAAATTTTAATTTTAACCTAGTTAATTTATAGACGTATTTTGGTTTAGTTTTACTTTTTGGTAAATTAACCACAGCATATTTGTTAAATTATAATTATGCATGTAATATTTGGTAGTTTTTGGTTTATTTTACCCTTTTTTAACTACTTTTTAACTCTTAATTTAACTTAAACTATAATTAACCTGTTTATTTTAAAATGGGTAAAATAAACCAAAAACTACCAAACATTACCTTCTTTTTACCCAAAAGGTACATTAACCAAGAAGTTAAATTTAAGTAACAACGTTAATTATACCACAATTGAATTCCTCACTTATTTTAAAGTACCTACCGTTAATTTAAGGTTAATTTAACCAGTTGTGCTACTATGTTAACATATCAGGTACTCATTAAACCATAAAAATATCGCCAAGAAAATATTTTTACGATACCATACGCAACTACTAACAAATCTCACAGCCGGTTACATTAATGGTGCATTGTTTGTTTATGTCAGCACACCTTTACCAACTCATCTATCTCGCGGCCATATCTCTCCTGTAGTTGATCAAAGCATTGTGTCGCGGAAACTCGATGTAATCATATTGTCACTAGATTAAGATTGCCTCGCATTTAAAAGAAAATTTAGCTCGCATAAAAGGTGCACCGTTAGGTGTCAAGTCGATCTCGCGATATTTTCATTGTACAAGCGAAAAAGCACTTCATTGTTACAGTTAGTCCTTTGTACACATGTAAGTCGATCAGAATTTACAGCAAAATAGAATGTTAGGTTAATGATGTGATAGACACTAAGTATGGTGTCCAAACGATTGTGTACCTTAGATTTTACTTGGAATATACAGATACCATGAAAGCTTTGTTCGGTACACCAGTTTAGATTTATAGTTTGTACTTAACAAGACATTTTTAATTTTTTTTCTTTGGTGTACCTACTATGCTCCACACCTCAAAGTTCCACCACGTGACCATGTAAGGAACGCAGTCTTTTGAAAATTTGGCATATACTTTTCAGGTTATGTATCTGTCAAAGTATAGTCAACGAAAGAAATAATATTATGTTTAGGCGTTAAAAATGTATAAATCTTTATAACATTACAATAACAATGGATGGTTTAAGAATTTAAGAATTTGCATTTAATGAAATTCTAAAGTGTATGGTGCCAAATAAGTAATATTTTTGTGCATTTGGTCCAAATATCTGGTTTTATCTATACAATAATTATTACTAAACAGCATTTATTAAAAAAAATCTAGCTTCTCTATTATGGAATAAGAATATCTGTTTTACAGGTAGGTTAATATATTATAACAAAAATATCATCTAATTTTGTAATTTTAAGGTTAGAAAAATTTATTTTGACCAAAATAAATAAGTATTTTGACTTATTTAAAAGAGTGTTTAATATGGTATTTAAAAATGTGGTAGTTTTTCTTATCCAGCTTAAAGTGTACCTACATAAAGTTTTGTCAATACAAATAGTTAAAAAGCTTCGACTGAATTTGATCTAGGTACATTTAAAAATCATTATTAACTTTAAAATTTTTAATAAATCGCATAAAAATTGTTTGTTTTCTTATAATCTAACTTAAAGTAGGTATGCCGAGAGGTATGCACAAGTTTTGTCATTAGAAGTATAAAAGCTTCAATTTAATTTGAACCATATTCAACAATTATTTAGTATACCTATATTTATTTATGACCATATTAACACACTCTTCCAAATAATCCACTTATTTATTTTGGTCAAAATAGATTTTTCTAACCTTAAAATACAAAATTAGATGATATTTTTTGTTCTAATACATTAACCTACCTTTGATACAGATATTCTTATTTCATAATAGAGAAGTTGGATTTTTTTAATAAATGCTGTTTAGTTAAAACTATTTTATGGAGAAATGTAGACCCAATGCACAAAAATATCACTTATATTGCACCTTACACTTTGGAATTTCATTAAATGCAGTTTTTATATTCCTAAATTTTTAAACCAACCATTGTTATTGTGATACTATAAAGATTTATTAACTTTTAACGCTTAAACATAAGCGTTAACACTATAAATATTATTTCTTTCATTGACTATACTTTGACAGATACATAACCTGAAAAGCCTTAAAGGCTAAATTTTCAAAAGACTGCGTTCCGTACGTGGTCACGTGGTGGGACTGAGGTGTGGAGCATAGTACATGGGATAATATAACTTTCCTTACTTCTTTTCTTCTAGCACTGATGCTGTGATGCCCATGATCCCTCTCGGTCTAAAGGAAACAAAGGAGATCGATTTTCGAGAACCTTTCAAAGATTTCATCCTGGAACATTACAGTGAAGATGCAAACACATACGAGGATCCCATTGCAGATTTCATGGATACCAGACAAGCGATGAGAACGCCTCTTAGGGACAACTCCGGCATAGGGCTACTTTTTAGGTACTACAATCAACTTTATTTCGTCGAAAGAAGGTTCTTTCCGCCCGACAGGTCGCTGGGCATATATTTCGAATGGTTCGATTCGCTAACAGGTAAGAACAAACTAAGATTTCAATGGTATCCCTGATAGCAAAATTTGATTCTAAGAATCTTCTAAGAAGATATGACCCGGAATAATGAAATATTCTTAGAACCTTCCCTTATTGCTAAGAATGTTCTTAGGGACTTTGAAAACATTCAATAGATACCCTTTTAATGATGCAATTAGATTCTTAGAAGCTTCTTAAAACCTTCCTAAAAAGCATTCTAAGAACATTTTAAGAATACGTTTTTGGAATGTTCTTAGAAGGTTTCTTATGGAGCTTCTATAGGAAGCTTTTGAGAATATTTCCAAATATGTCAGATAGCCACGTTCTAATATGTTGGATTCTACATTCGTAAAATTCTTCAGGAGGCGACAAATACGCCTCACTGTCATAATATGACAGTGAAATGTATTTGTCCTCCCCTTAACAAATTTTGCGACATATTAATATATATTTATTTAAAAATATTAAATAAACAATTCGACCTCTAAACCATAAGTTGTATGACATTATTTCATAAAAAGTAAAATTGGAAAATTTTGTGGGATAAGTCAGATTAGATTAAAGTTGAAGATTGTTAGGATTATTATACATAAAAATGTTAATTCAGATATAAAAAATCGGTACACAAATTAATAAATATTTATTTTTAACATAAAATAAAATATAAAAAAACAAAATATTTCCTCATAAAATAATTCTTCATAAAAGAAAAAACCAAATAGTTTTTCATAAAAAAAAAACATTTTTCATTGTATTTAAGTTGGATAGAAGATTTTATGTAAAAGCCGGATAATTTAGATACCTATAGTAAAAGTATTTTTGTGATCGAATATTGTTTTAATTTGACAAATAACTATAAAAAAATATTTTGGGTTGTGTTTTCTACTTAGTATTTAATACTAAGTATAGGTACCTTTATACGTAGATTATGGTATATTTTACTATTATATAGGTACCTAACTGAACTGAATATGCTTAACAGAATGTTACAGGAATATTCCTAATTGAACTTTCCATAGCAATTACTTTCTCAACATTCTAAGCATATGTTTAGAGTGGATTCATTTTTACCACTAAACTTTGCACCTTCTAAGAACCTGCCTATAGGCCAGTGAGAATATTCTTAGGATTATGCTATATTTCTTTTAAGCATGTTCTTTAGAAGAAATATAGCATGATCCTAAGAATATTCTCGCTGGAAGGTTTAAAAAACATTCTTAGAACATGACTAGAAGAAATATAGCATGATCCAAGAATATTCTCTCTGGAAGGTTTAAAAAACATTCTTAGAATAAACTGTGCTATCAGGGATACTGATTGCAACTTCTTTCTAGGTGTGCCATCGTGTCAAAGAACTGTAGCTTTCGAGAAGGCGTGCGTTTTGTTCAACATGGGGGCTGTATATACGCAAATAGGGGCGAAACAAGACAGATTGACGGCCAAGGGTTTGGACGCGGCTGTAGATAGTTTCCTAAGAGCGGCTGGCACGTTCAGATACATCCACGAGAACTTTACCAACGCCCCATCGATGGATCTGGGACCTGAGATGTTAGAGATGCTCGTGCAGCTTATGCTGGCGCAAGCGAGGGAGTGTTTGCTGGAGAAATTGCAGCTTCAGAGTGAGGAAAATCGTTCTTTGGACGTGTGCCTCGATCTGGCACAAGAAGCATCACAACTAGCAGATTGCTACAACGCTGTCCATCAGCTGATCAACCATGAGTCAGTCCACGATTACGTCCCGTACAGTTGGATTTCTTTGACCCAAGTAAAGGGGGAGTTCTACACCGGAATGGCTCATCACCACGTCGCGATGGGTGTTCTACATAAAGACGCGATTAAAATTTTAAGCAGCACCAAGGAAACATTGCAGTTCGTCGAGAAGATGACCTCGTCACCTGACATCAAGTTACCCAAGGATGAAACCGATAGACGGATACTAGGTAATTGACTGATTTTTATATTATAATACATTTTTTATTTTGACCGTAATTGTTTTGAGGAAATTTCTTATATATTTGTTTTTTCACTAAAAAATTGACACTTATTTTTGAAAATTCTAAATTTGAGGCAAAAAACTTGACTTTAGAAAGATAAATGTATATAACATTAAAAATACGTAAATACATTAAAAATACGCGAGCGACCTCGAATACAAATAATATTGTCTCTTTTTTGGTAATTTAAATGTATAACATAAACAGAAGGTATTTTTTTATCAAATAATTTTGTGAAAACGAAACAAGTCATTATTTATGTGTTTTTAGGATATTTTTTAGATTTATTATTTTTATTATTATTTTAACTTTTCTTTAGCAAGATAAATTTATATAACATCTAAAAGGCGCAAATATATGGGCGCGAGCCCGAATACAAATTTTATTGTCTGTTATTTTGTAATTTAAATTTATATAAAAATAAATAAATAAATATTAAACAGAAGGCATTTTTTAAAAACAAAACAAGTTGATCTTTATTTGTTTTGGGATATAGATTTTTTTATTTACAAAATTGATGCTTTTTTGAGATTTTTTTATTTGAGGCAGATAACTTTACTTTAGCAAGATAAATGTATATGACATTTAAAAGGCGCAAATACATGCGCGACAGCGCAAATGTACGGGCGCGAGCTGTTCTTTATAATTTAAATGTATATGACATAAATAGAATGAATTTTAATGGTTGTAAATTTTTATATTATAATTTTTTTTTTATTTTAACCGTAATTATTTTGAGACAATTTCTTTTATAAATTTGGTTTTTTGAGTTATCATTTTTTTTAACTAAAAAATTGACGATTCTTTTTGAAAATTTAATATTTGAGGCAAAAAATTTTACATTAGCAAGATAAATGTATATAACATTAAAAATACGCAAATACATGCGCGACAGCGCAAATATAGGCGCGACAGCGCAAATGTACTCACGCGACCTCGAATACAAATAATATTGTCTGTTTTTTGGTAATTTAAATGTATGACATAAGCAGAAGGTATTTTTTTATCAAATAATTTTGTGAAAACAAAACAAGTCATTGTTTATTTGTTTTTAGGATATTTGATCCTTTTAGACTCTACCCAAGTAATACATTAGGTTTTATTAATGCTGTAACAGCACCTATAGGGTAGGGTGGGTCAAAAAAACCGACTTTTTTACTTTGTACTCTGAAAAATCGGTTACTAGACACCTCTAGAGAATTCTCACCAAACATGAGCTCTTAATTTTGATAACAAGGTCCTCCGCTTTACAATTTTCCATTTTTTCCTCAGTATTAGAAACAAAAATTCATATCTCTTCGACAACTGTTCGTTAAAAAATAACTCTCCTCATATTCTTGTAGGAAATCGAACGCTCTACAAAAAAGGCCTCTTACAATTTTTTCGTAAACCTCACCGTTAAAAGATATCGAAGGTTAAAGTTTAATTATTTTAAGAGAAATTTCTGTTTTGCTTATGAATTTTATAACTCGCTTACTTTTTATGAATCGTGCAACTCATAGTTTTGTAGGAAATTAACTGCTCTACAAAAATGGTCTCTTATGATTTGTCGATTAAATTAAGCGTTTAAAAGATATTCATCGTCAAACTTCAATGCATACTAATTTTAACAGTTTTTGATGAGTAATTCGAAAAATTTCAATTTAATTTTTGAGTTTTACAAAAATTTATACAAATTCGAGTTTCTATCGTAAAAGTAACTCTTCTAGAAGTTTCCCTTTCGAAAATTTATTTGAGACTTTTTTATTTTAATAATATTTTCATGAAATTTATCTTTATAATAACTTAAAATCATAAGCAATTGAAAGTTGTTAATGATTCGGCAGAGCGAGCTGTTGCATTAGTCGATGATTATAACCAATGCTTAAAAAAAAAGGAAGAGCAATTTCAATATTTATTGCAAGTTATAAAAGAACATCGCAAACAATACCCAAATTGTAATAAAGAAAACTTTTTACATTAAAAGTGTACGATTACATTATAAATGTTAAAATTTTTATTTCAGTTGATAAAATTAAATAAAGAAACTTTTTAATAATAAATAGAACATTTTTTTTTCTTCAAGATCAATACTTTTCATATTAAATTTATGACAAAAACGTTATTTTTTTCAAAATTTAATAAATCATTGTCTCTGAGTTAAAAATAATGCACTATTTTTTTTCAATATAACCAAACATATGTAGGACTAAAAATAAACGAGAAAAATAGTTTCTCTTTTCATAGGAACTCAAATTTGTATAAATTTTCGTAAAACTCAAAAAATAAATTGAAATTTTTCGAATTATTCATCAAAAACTGTTAAAATTATTATGCATTTAAGTTTGACGATGAATATCTTTTAAACGCTTAATTTAATCGACAAATCATAGGAGACCATTTTTGTAGAGCAGTTAATTTCCTACAAAACTATAAGTTGCGCGATTCATAAATTTTTTTGTAAGCAAGTTATTAAATTCATAAACAAAATAGAAATTTCTCTTAAAATAATTAAAATTTAACCTTCGATATCTTTTTAACGGTGAGGTTTACGAAAAATTGTAAGATACCTTTTTTGTAGAGCGTTTGATTTCCTACAAGAATATGAGGAGAGTTATTTTTTATCGAACAGTTGTCGAAGAGATATGAATTTTTGTTTCTAATACTGAGGAAAAAATGTAAAATTGTAAAGCGGAGGACCTTGTTATCAAAATTAAGAGCTCATGTTTTAGACCAGGGTCGATAATTTTTGAAACCAAAAAAAATAACAGTAGGATGAAACCCATTGGAAAAGGAGAAGAATATAATAAAAATGAAAGGAAAAATAAATTACGGGCGATCTGACTTCGGGAAGTGGGAGGGGGGGTTTTAAGGGTAAAAAATGGTTTATCTCGATTTCCGGCAAAACTACAAGTCCTATGGAAAAAAGTTAAATGGCAAAGTTGTAGGTAATAAAAGGATCTACAACTTTTGTAATTACAATTTTTTTTACATAACCTCAAAATTTATGTGAAAAATTCAAAAAACCAATTTTTTGGTTTTTTATATTTATCTTTTTCAAAAAAAATTTTTTTTCCACGAAATTTGGTGAAAACTTACCTTTTTATGTCCCAAATACACTGTAATTTATTTGACTTGAAATATTTATTATTTCGCCTTATTTTGACTTAATATCAAAAAAGCACCCTAATTTTCAATCGAAAATTCTCGCGTCAAAATATCAGCTTTTTTCAAAAAGTCGGTGTGCTTATTGTTCGTTGAAATCTCTACTTTCTAATATTAATAATAATAATAATAATAATAATAATAATAATAATAATATCTTTATTTACGGTTAAACCATTACTGATGGTATATACATTACTATGGTAAATGTTCTCAGAAAATGCAAAAAATATTATAATGAATAACGAAAAAAACTCGAATTCGAAAATTTATTTTAATCATTATATACAATTTCATCAAAAAAATGTGATTGTTGCAATTTTTTTTAGTTAAAAAGTTTATTTATTAAATTCTAATAACATTTATGTCAGAAAATCTCATAAAATATAAAAATACATGTAAATCATACTATTGAATTTAGATACTTCATTCTGATTACGTTATTCATTATAATATGTTTTGTATTTTCTGAGAACATTTACCATAGTAATGTATATTTTTTTTTACACCATCAGAAAGTAGAGAGTTCATCGAACAAAAAGCACACCGACTTTTTGAAAAAAGCTGATATTTTGACGCGAGAATTTTCGATTGAAAATTAGGGTGCTTTTTTGATATTAAGTCAAAATAAGGCGAAATAATAAATATTTCAAATCAAATAAATTACAGTGTATTTGGGACATAAAAAGGTAAGTTTTCACCAAATTTGGTGAAAAAAAAATTTTTTTTGAAAAAGATAAATATAAAAAACCAATACCTTGGTTTTTTGAATTTTTCACATAAATTTTGAGGTTATGTAAAAAAAATTGTAATTACAAAAGTTGTAGATCCTTTTATTACCTACAACTTTGCCATTTAACTTTTTTCCATAGGACTTGTAGTTTTGCCGGAAATCGAGATAAACCATTTTTTACCCTTAAAACCCCCTCTCCCACTTCCCGAAGTCAGATCGCCCGAAATTTATTTTTCCTTTCATTTTTATTATATTCTTCTCCTTTTCCAATGGGTTTCATCCTACTGTTATTTTTTTTATCTTTTTACCATTTTTAAAGGCTTCTGCACTGGTCTATTTGGTGAGAATTCTCTAGAGATGTCTAGTAACCGATTTTTCAGAGTACAAAGTAAAAAAAAATAGTCGGTTTTTTTGACCCACCCTACTATAGGGCCTCTTTTAAAATTACAATTACTTGGGTATAGAAATTTAAATTGTTCATGTCTTATCTTGACATGATTTATAGTGAGATTGCGGGGCATTACACCTTTTAACAACATCTTATAATTTATTGTTGCAGCCAAGGCTCATTTACGAGAAGCTCTGGTGCTTCACGAAGAGTGTCAGAGGTTACATCGCATGTGCCGCGAATTAAAGGGAAAGCACGCTTTGACCGCCGTGCTGAAAAATGCCCACAAGACGGCCATGCAAGTGTACACGCCTTTGGAAAAGGAGGACGACTTTGCCGAGATGTTAGACGCTCCATTAGTACAACGTAAGATAATTATAATTTGTTTTAATTTAAATGTTTATGCAACATTTCACCGAATTTTCTTGCGCTGAATTGTTTTTTCAAATTCTAGGACAACTAGCCTGGGGATATGTTAAATGTCAAAGCTAATTGTATCACTACTTCTTAATCAGCCATAAACATTGAAACATATCCTTTTCATTATCTTTTAACACGACTTACTCAGATAACATGTATGTTCGTAAATTTATAACGGTTTAGAAGAGATAACATCCACAGAGATGGATATGCTTCACTCACGGAATAAATCGTTCTAAATTTAATTGTATCGTGCAATTTTAAAGAACACGTTCACTTTGAATTTCAAATATGCTAACGCCGATTTTTACTACGTTTTGGTTATGCACTGATTCCTTTTGACCGCGCGAACAATTCAACTATGACCCATGCAAGTAGTTTTAGATAAAAAAAATGTTGTTGTTTTAAAACTTCCCTACCCAAATTTCTCGGAAACTGGAAGGTTCTCCGAGACACGTAAAGTTTTATCATTGAGTAAAGTGTTACTCAATGGTTTTATATTGAGGGGAAAAAGTTTGGTTTCCCACCCTGCGTCCAGGAGCTAACCCCTTAAGAATTTGAAAAGGGGTAATACATAATTTTAAAGGTCTTTTTATTTTTGGGATATTTTACAAAAACCTTTTAATCAAACACAATGTACCTAATCAAGAACATGTTTTTATTGTTTTTTTAATATTACAAAAAAAAAATTTGTGGAATTGAACGTCAGTTCTCTGTCATTCTTTGACGAAGCTCGTCTAAATTTTGAGGTTGAGGGATATAAACAATATACTTTAAATGACCCCTCAGAAAAAAATCCAAAGTTGATAAATCAGGTGATCCATTGGAAACTCTACAAGTCCTATTCGCCCTATCGATTTATTTGAAAATTCATTTTCTAACCATTCTGGACTGGAATATCTTGCTGAAAATACAATTCATATGAAGATATCTTTATCAAGTAAAAAATGTCTATCTCCATCGGGTTGATTTTTAACAGATTCAATAATCAACGGATTGATTATGTTTTCTAACATATTAAAATATATTTCTCCATTTAGATTTTTATCAATAACCAATTGACCAATTACTTGGTTTCATAAAATAAACTGATGAGGATTTTCATTGCTACAATAACTGCAGCCCTGATAGCAAAATTTGATTCTAAGAATCTTCTAAGAAGATATGACCCGGACAAATGGAATATTCTTAGAACCTTCCCTTATTGCTAAGAATGTTGTTAGGGACTTTTAAAACATTCAATAGATACCCTTTTAATGATGCAATATTGAATGTTTTAAAAGTCCCTAACAACATTCTTAGCAATAAGGGAAGGTTCTAAGAATATTCCATTTGTCCGGGTCATATCTTCTTAGAAGATTCTTAGAATCAAATTTTGCTATCAGGGCTGCAGTTATTGTAGCAATGAAAATCCTCATAAAGAACATTTTAAGAATACGTTTTTGGAATGTTCTTAAAAGGTTTCTTATGGAGCTTCTAGGAAGCTTTTGAGAATATATCCAAATATGTCAGATACCCACGTTCTAATATGTTGGATTCTACATTCGTAAAATTGTTCAGGAAACGACAAATACGCAATACGCAAAAACATTTTTCATTGTATTTAAGTTTTCTAAGCATGTTCTTTAGAAGAAATATAGCATGATCCTAAGAATATTCTCACTGGAAGATTTAAAAAACATTCTTAGAACATGACTAGAAGAAATATAGCATGATCCTAAGAATATTCTCACTGGAAGGTTTAAAAAACATTCTCAGAACATGACTAGAAGAAATATAGCATGCTCCTAAGAATATTCCCACTGGAAGGTTTAAAAAACATTCTTAGAATAAACTTTGCTATCAGGGGTAGATTATGGTATATTTTACTATTATATAGGTACCTAACTGAACTGAATATGCTTAACAGAATGTTCCAGGAATATTCCTAAATAAACTTTCTATAGCAATTACTTTCTCAACATTCTAAGCATATGTTTAGAGTGGATTAATTTTTAACACTAAACTTTGCACCTTTTAAGAACCTGCCTATAGGCCAGAGAATATTCTTAGGATTATGCTATATTTCTTTTAAGCATGTTCTTTAGAAGAAATATAGCATGATCCTAAGAATATTCTCACTGGAAGGTTTAAAAAACATTCTTAGAACATGACTAGAAGAAATATAGCATGATCCTAAGAATATTCTCACTGGAAGGTTTAAAAAACATTCTTAGAATAAACTGTGCTATCAGGGAGTTTACGACATATTTAGGGTGGAAAGTTTTAAAATAAACTTCCTGTATAGATCAATCATTTCTTATAATATCTTTCTTTTTTAGCTGCAACGAAGTTCCAACTTTCTTTAACAGCACCAGACTTTGCCCAGTACCGCGTAAACGATTTGTTCAGAGGTTTGGGACCCATCGCTATATTTTCTGCAAAAAGGCATTGGACTGCTCCCAGATTGGTTCAGCTTCACAGAGGAAGAACTTCCGATGGTTTCGGTTTTTCAGTCAGAGGAGATGCTCCTGTTATAGTGGCCATCGTCGAGACAAACTCAATTGCCGAGGTAAATAGTTTTACATATAGTATCTACTAAAGGTTAATAATTATGTTATGCTAGATCCCAGCAGTGTTTTCTTTCACGAATGATCAAATTACCATTTAAATTTAGATATCTCTTTTAGGATCTTTAATCATATTTATTTCAGTCCCTTAGTTCTGCTTAGAGTAAAACAAATAATATTCATGAAAGCCTTTTTTAACCAAAAAAACATTTTTTTCTAAGATCGAATTAAAGAAGAACCGTTCCATTTCATACTATCTACAATCTATTTCCGCCCAAAAAAATTTGCCAGTCACTTCATTTATAACAGAGGTTAGTAATTTTTTTCAAGTTTTTCTCGAAAATAAAAATTTTGTCATCTATACAAGGTTCTTCATACAACTTAACCTATTATTTCCTTTCAATACATTAGCTTTCATATAGGGTGTCCCAGAAATGGACCACTAATACCACGCGACACAGTGTTTCAATTCTGGAAAATATCGGCAAAACCTCAAAAATTGACATTTTTTTAGGTAAATTTAGAGTTACATGGGTAGTTAATACCTGTCTCCATTCTATATTGAAAAAAAATTATATAAAATACGTATATTTTGTCTTGTACATCAGTTTAAACTTGACGCTTTCAGTTGAAGGTACTTTACACGCGATCGGTGCGAAAAATTGTTTATTGTTTAAAAGTGAATAACATGTGTTTGGTGTGTCCGATTGTTATGCGGTTTGATGAAGGGTGATCTTTAAGGTATCTAAAATTCAGATATGTATTTGTTTTTCGTAGATTTTGCTTGTACAACGGGTTATTGTAACCGACAAGATCGGTCTGTTAAAATCGCAAACTTTGAATCGAGCTTTTAGAACAATGGAGCTACAAAAATTGTAGTGAATTGTAAGGCATCACTTCAATATCCGTTGAATAGCTTAGAGTTTTGTCTATCAAGCCATCAATAAATTAGCTGCCCCAACTTGCCCCCGGCTCTTTAAAACTACATGTTCTTGGGCGCTCAGGCACGGTTGTGGTAAAAAACCTCTCGATTTTAAGCCTATGTCGACCGCGTATCTGTGTTTTTGATTTACAAAATATAAGATTTTTTTTATTTCTGGGTTGCGTTCATGACGTTTACTCGATTCACTCGGATTTAACTCAAAATGTTTATTACAACAGCGGTGTCTAGACTTTCACTTGGGTAAATCGTTCGTGACTACTAAGATATTTAACACCGATTTTACATATTTAACCCACCTCTTGTAGGTGCGTTAAAACAACCCCGCATGCGCATTGTAGTGTGTTAATGTCAAATTTAAATTGTGGTTATTTGTGTTGACAATTTTTTTATCGAATTAAGAAATCGTTGCTAAAATATTAAGTAAAAGAAATAATTCAAATTTAAGATACTTAGTAGAAAATCTGTTATATTTAAATTTTATAAATAAATTTTGAAAGTTTCTCGGGAGAAAACGATGGAAGATGTTTTCCATTGGCTTATGGCATCTTCCGATCCTTATATTTCTAGCTTCAGAAAATTTGCTCCGAAAAAGAGCAATGAATTTTGGAATTCTGATTCCAGATTCGTTATCAGCGACCCCAAAAACCCTGTATGGTGATTTTCAATTTATTCCGTCAATTTTTCGACAAATATGTCCGCCATTTCGGATATATAATTTTGAATTTTGAAATTCTGATTCCAGATTCGTTATCAGCGACCCTAAAATCCTCTATATACGGATTTTTAGGAGAATCCGACTACTCCTTGATATTTTGCCGAAAATTTCGAGAATTGAAACACTGTGCGCCACTATTTAAGCATACAAGGTGCACCAAGTATTCTTCTATGTATGGATAATTTTTATTCGAAGAGCTACAAGGTCGGTTAAATTACAAGTCTATTAAAATGACATTTAAAAAAATTGAAAACCTGTCAAAATTGTTATAACTTCGTTACTTCTATTTAAAAAAAATTCCCGTAGGATACTTGTTGCACCATGTAAAACATTTTTTGTTTGATAAAAGTTTACCAATAGAAACGTACGTCCTTTAATAGAAATTAAGAGTACATTGCATAAAAGTTATAATTTTAACGAAAAGTAATTTAAGTGAGCACCACTGCTACTTATACAGGGTTTCTTACTATAACTTATATAAAGTTTACAATTAAATTAAGAACAAACCACCATTGTATTTTCAAAATGTTGGCATATAGAAAAAACATTTAAAAAATCTCATCTCATCTCTCGATAAAATGACGCAGTAAATGACGACACCCTGTATAAGTTTACAAAGCTCTACTAACCAAACAGAAAGTGGTAATATTATTAAAAAAATTCTAATCTGTTCATTATAGTTTGGTGGGGTTAAAGAAGGCGACTTCATCGTTTCCATAAGCGATAAGGATGTGAAATGGGCTTCGCACGATGAAGTGGTGACGCTGATAAAAAACGCTGGGGATTCTTTGAGCTTGAAGATAGTCACGCCGATGGACAGGAATTACCTTAAGGTACCGCAGATGACATTTTTTAAGCCTGAATTATAGATTGCCTTCCTTCCTTCCTCCCGTAGTCGTGCCCGTACGATTTTTGCGTCTTGTAAAAAGTCAATTTATAGATTTCCGTGTAAAATTCCGTAACCATGCGCGATGACACCTAAAATGGTTGACATTTGTTTTTGTTTACATTCTGCGTTTTACCCATTGTGTGTAAATATGAAAGATAATCATTTATATATTAGTGCAGTGATCACAATTTTAATTGCCCAGGCAGCTTGTTGTCTACTGCCCAACTATGGAGAAAGGCAGTAACTGCTAAACAAGAAATTTGTGGGAAATTAGCATAAACTACATTTTTATAAAAAGCAGTAGGTATTTAACTGATTTATTTAACTTAAAAGATAGTTTACTGCATTTCTTTGTTGAATTAAGATACAAAATGTCCATAGCTTTATCATAGCACAAGAAAACGCATTTGTAGTTTCTACCTTTTTCCATGGTAGGGCAGTATAATGAAAGACTCGTCCACTTTACCAAGACCGGGAAACTACGGGGTTTTACAAAGCAACGTTTCTAAAAATGAAAGACATTGATCATAAACAATATCTAAATATCCTATTTAGAGACACAAATTATTTGATAAACTGAACACCTATCTTAAATAATACTAAACAATCATGTATTTTAAATATTTTGTGCCTACGCGCTGTCACCCTACAGCGCATGTCCATAACAAGCACTGTGATTGGTCATGTCAAAGACCTTTACGGTGAAAGATAAAACTTAAAAATTTCTACGGGAGGAAGGAATGCCGTCCTTACGGTACGGCAATCTATAACTGGCACTACGATTTAAATAAACATTTTTGACGTAATTTTCACTATTAACATTGCCCGTTATTAATTTTAATTAAACTTAACAATTATTGATACTTTAAAATATTAAAATAACTTTAAAATATGATTTTGTTAAGAAAATATTTTATTATTTGATTTTTTTTATTACTATAATTGCAAAATATTATCACCAAGTATTAAAAATTTTTACACGGGAAATGTTAATGGTGACATTTAGGGAATGTTCATCTTCTACGGGAGGAAGGAAGGAAGGAAGGCAATCTATAATTCAGGCTTAATCGTTATTTTGTTTACAGCCGTCGAAGTCGAACAACAATAAGGGATCGGTTTCGACGCATAGCAGCAGTTCAGGGGTGTCCAGCGGGATGTCGAGCCCTGCAGGGTCGATGGCTCAGCATGGAAACAGTAAACGAATGAACTGGAACCCTTTTAAACGGCACGCGTCGTCCAGGGACGGTAAAGACTTTTTCGAAAACGTAATTCTTAGATAGGCAATTTAAATTATTAATTTTCTTTTTATCGCCCGCGAAAAAAAGTTTAATTAGATCGTTAGTATTCATGGATACATAATAATAACACTAATGATAATTGTAAAGTTATTTGTTAGGTTGTTAGTTTGGACTTATTTAGAGAGTAAGTCGTGTACTGATATATTTTAATTTGTATGATATTAAAAAAATGTTATTTGGCAACAATAATAGTCACATGTTAATTATTTATGTTATTATTTTATGGATCTTTACGTTAGTTTCTGTTCATTTCTACCGTCTTTATGCGAAAGGAATATTTAGTCAGGTAATTAAACTAAATTGTACATGTCTGTTACTTTGTTATGTATAGTATATTTATGTATATAAACAATAAATTATATTCTCTCAAAACCTGTTTTTTACTCACAAATTAAATCTGGCAACATTGCTTTTTAATTGATTTGGGAACAGCAACACTCAGTTTATTTAAATTTAAGTGTATAAACCCAATTTTAGTACATAGAAAGAAGACTTAATAAAAAAAGAATTAACTCTAAATACAAAAAACCACCCCTTAATATTTGTTTGGATATTTTAGTTATGGGTGAATATATTGAGATGTCCACCAAGTGAAAATGATTATCTTTTATTTTTGGTTGTTTCACTGTTAGTCTAGAATGGGGTTTTTGGGAAGCCATCAGGTCTGCAGACAGGTAAGTTAAGAAAATATGTTTGATTTTTTTTATTACTATAATTAAAAAATATTATCAGTAGGTATTAAAAATTCGTACACGGGAAATGTTAGGTACAAAAAGTGACAGTTGTATTTATTGGAATTCCCGTTAGAATTTTTAACTTAAGAATCTACCGGCGTTAAAATCTCAAATTTGTTTTTTTAAATCAAAATTTATCCCTTGAAAATAAACTAACAATCGATATAGAAGCAGTTTTTATAGTAAAAGAGAAGAGAATGTTTTATGAGCACTGTACGCAAAATCTCTAACGCTTTATCAGTTAAATCTAGTTAACTGCACTACTACGTCGAAATCACTTAGTGTCATAGAAACATGTACGATAATGGTCGTTTTTAAGGTGGGAGTAGAAAAAATACTCTAATAGTCTATGACGCTTAGCGTCGTGACGTTCCTGCTTTTATTTTATATGATTTACGATATTCCACATAATTAATGTTTAATTTGGGTAAAGGTTAAAATAACGTCATATTTCATCATTATTTAAAAATATGATAAATTTAAATTGCATGTGCGTGAAAAAGTATCGACGTGTAACTAACTAGGATACAATATAAAAATTTATTTTATTTTCCATAATATTGGTATGAATATTTGGGAAATGTATAAAAAGGAAATAGGAAACTACCAATATGGATTTATACAAGAAAATCAACTATGAATACTAATTATCAGTACTGCTACACACTTACTGATGTATTTCGTAACTTTAACCCACTGTATCCCCTAATTTCAGTTTGAAAACCAGTGATGGCATGTTTCTTCGGATACTTCGCACATCGCACACTCATTTAATAGGTATAAGGAATCCGAATATCAATAATAACAGATTTCTGGTAATATATTATAATCACTCTGGACAGTTGTTACGAATCCGTTGCAAATTAAAATAAAGTAAGGAGAAGTATAAGTTGCAGACGCTAAAGTCAGTTAAACTTGTTGATGCGTATTGTCAATGGGAAATAAGAAATGAGAAATCTGATTTTTATAACAGTGTATAATAATTCTTAGAGCAAGAATATTAATCATATGCGTAGGGTTACAAGTACCATCCCTGATAGCACACTTTATTCTAAGAATGTTTTTTAAACCTTCCAGTAAGAATATTCTCAGGATCATGCTATATTTCTTCTAAAGAACATGCTTAAAAGACATAGCTATAGCATGATCCTAAGAATATTCTTACTGGCCTATAGGCAGGTTCTTAGAAGGTGCAAAGTTTTAGTGGTAAAAATTAATCTACTCTAAACATATGCTTAGAATGTTAAGAAAGTAATTGCTATAGAAAGTTCATTTAGAAATATTCCTGTTAAGCATATTTAGTTCAGTTACCTACCTATATAATAGTAAAATATACCATAAACTACGTATAAAGGTATTAAATACTAAGTTAAAAACACAATCCAAAATATTTTTTTATAGTTATTTCTCAAATTAAAACAATATTCGATAACAAAAATACTTTTACTATTTATTTTATGTTAAAAATAAATATTTATTTATTTGTATACCGATTTTTTATTTCTGAATTAACATTTTTTTGTATAATAATCAGCCTCGAGGGGGCCCCGTATCAAAAATCTGGTAGGGGCCCTTATATGGGAAAAGCTGCTGGCAAAAAAAGTCCATTTTGGGCAAACAAAAAAATTTTTTAGGGAATAATTTTTTTTGCATTTATCAATTTTTTATAATTTAATAAATAATATATATATTAGGGTGCTTCATTTTAGAGTGACTCATATTGTCAAATTCTTAAAAATTCAGTTTCTGACGACTGTAATAACTATACTATTAGAGTTACGTGAAAGAGTGGCTGTACAAGCTAAACTATAAGTGTTACAGAAAAATATTTCTTATCAAATTTGTAGGGCACAAAATTCCCCACAAAATTGTTATTTTCGTTTTTTATCTACAATCAATAGATCAAGATTTTCGAGTAGAACGACAATTTGTGAAGAACATATTCAACCTACAGACTTCCTTAAATGGACATTTTTGAAGATAATTTCATCCTGTATAAAGATTTTAGAAACGAAATTCGAAAAAAATATTCTTACTGTACGAGCGGAAGGAGAAAAGAATAAAAAATGTTTTTTAATGGTTTTTAAAGGGAAATATTTAAAAATTGAATAGCAACGGCTTAAAATAAATATTAAGAGAATTATAATAGCTCAACATTTTTGTTTTTTGACAGGTTACAAAATTTTTAGGGTGGAAAAAAAATGAAGCACCCGAATACATAGCTTTTTATGTACAGGCAAATTTAAAATTTTGGTCTGGTTTTAGTCATTTACCGTTCTTCAACAACTTTTAAAAGGTTTCTATTTTAAAATAAAGGCAAATCATTTAAAATAATTGTAACGCTAATAATTATAATTATACAAATAATTATTTGTAATTTGCACAGAACAATATGCGCAGACTGCGCCGCGGACAACGCATAGCCGAAAGGTGCGGTCAGAAACAATTCGTATTCGTAATTCACTGCCTCGTTGGAACATTTTAATTTAATAAATCGAAGTATAAACAATTAAATAATAAAGTTATTTATTTATTTATTTAATTTCATGCCTCAATTTTTTTAACATGTGGGTAATATGTTTTTTCTTACGCATGTCGAGCCAATCGGGGGCCCCCCTAGCCGGGGCCCCCGTATCATTGATACAGCTGATACCGCGGTAGCTACGCCCCTGATAATAATCTAAATTAGTTAACTATCTTCAACTTCAATCTAATCTGACTTATCCCACAAAATTTTCCAATTTTACTTTTTATGAAATAATGTCATACAACTTATGGTTTAGAGGTCAAATTGTTTATTTAATATTTTTAAATAAATATATATTAATATGTCGCAAAATTTTTTAAGGGGATGACAAATACATTTTACTGTCATATTATGACAGTGAGGCGTATATGAGTACCTTAGATGCAAAACTCGGTTTTTGCAAATTAAAAAATAAAATAAAATTGACTTTAAATTCTGTTTAGTGTTCGTCCTAGATAAATGGCGTTTATAAAACTTGATACATAATAATATATATAATATAATATTATTATGTATCAAGTTTTATGAACGCCATTTATCTAGGACGAACACTAAACAGAATTTAAAGTCAATTTTATTTTATTTTTTAATTTGCAAAAACCGAGTTTTGCATCTAAGGTACTCATATGTCGTCTCCTGAAGAATTTTACGAATGTAGAAAACAACATATTAGAACGTGGGTATCTGACATATTTGGAAATATTCTCAAAAGCTTCCTAAAAGCTCCATAAGAAACCTTCTAAGAACATTCCAAAAACGTATTCTTAAAATGTTCTTGGGATGCTTTTTAGGAAGGTTTTAAAAAGCTTTTAAGAATCTAATTGCATTATTAAAAGGGTATCTATTGAATGTTTTAAAAGTCCCTAAGAACATTCTTAGCAATAAGGGAAGGTTCTAAGAATATTCCATTATTCCGGGTCATATCTTCTTAGAAGATTCTTAGAATTAAATTTTGCTATCAGGGGAATAGCCTATTTAAATATCTAACTTTACTAAATTTTTATAATAAAATGATTACAGTACATATCACAAAAGTTATAATTAAATGAATCATATTTTGCATAACAAATCTATATTGTTAGGGATTACAATATATTTTCTTAAAGTATATGTAAAGAACGTTATCGGTTACTCCATCTGTTGCCTAATGGCCTTTACCACGCCGTAAACAGAACGCATAGGCGCCAGTTCCCTTTTCCCTCGGTTCCTCGCACAGCACCGCTGACGTCCGCCAAGTGACACGTCGGGACGCCCTCCCAGATATTCCTGTAACTGAGCTTCGTCGAATGACGTCACGCCATCGCGCTTGCCTGATATCTCTCACCGGTCTCGGCATTGATTATTACCTACTGCGAGTGCGACTTACGTCAGGGTAGACATGCACTCGTACTACTATTTATTTATGTCCGCAACAGTGTAAATACCTTTGAATTTTCGTTTGCATCCAAGCAATCGGTTATCGCGATCGGAATATTGTTGACGCGCGTTTTTCCTTACACCCTCCCATGCCATGCTGGGAGACCTCCCCACAGGCAGGCTTTGATTCGAAAAAAATCAACAACAACTCGAGAAAAGGACCCTCAGTTCTGTAAGAGTATGTGTTTAAGTGATGGTTTTTTCATGTGGAGGATTTTTGCTAGGTAGATGACACACAACTCTACATTCGATCGGAATTAGGAGAAGAATGTTTAACTTTATTTTATGAGAGACACGTTCACTGGGAAGAAATCATGGGAAACTCCTGCAGCAGTGGACAGGCCCACAAGGATAAGGATAACATGTCCCAAAGATCAGAAGAGTAAGTAATCATCAATTAAACCATAAATTACAATCAAAATGACTTGTTTGTAAAAAATAATAGCAGTAATAAAATTTAGGTCACTAAGCATGGAGCTTAAGGACTCTCGTAAATTTTAATCACACCTATGTTCATTTTATATTAAAAAATTTAACCTCAAAAATGCAAATTTCTCAATTAAAATTCACTAGTTTGCAAGTTTCTCCAAAAGCGAGAAATTTCCAACATTTGTTGTCCAAAATAAATGAAATTAAATTCCAAAACACATATGAACAATTTAACAATTTTCCACCACATAACAATGTACATTCTCCATATAATTGAATTGAATTTACAATTTTAAGAATAATAGTCAAGACATGAAATTTGGTTGTGCCATTTTTTACAACGTCCTTAATTTAGATAGAAATACTTCAGGATTAAATATAAATAGAAATACACTGAAAGGTATATTCGTATTTTCGGAAATGAGATTTATGGATAATAAATATACATTTTTGTTTCTCATATTTACCAACTCCTTCAAAGTTTTATATAAAACGGTGCCAGATTTAAAATAAAAATATTTTCATAATTTATCTGGATAAATATAATATTTTCTTGGAATTAATCTAATTGGCGTGTTTATAAAATAAATAAAAATTCATAAGATGTGGTCAATATTTTTTCACTTTTCATATTTTTGTGCACTGTTATCTTTATTTCGCATCATATTATCTATCTAGTCGCACAAAATTAAAAATTTAATTATTTTGAAAGGTTTTTGAAATTAATTAGTTAAAACGATGCAATTGTTTTAATTAATTTTTAACATATGGAATGTACAGTTGCGTAAATAGGTTTTGCATTTAGTTCAATTTAAAACAAATAAAAAAAATTCTTAATTTTATAACTTTGTATAACTATTGTCTCTACGATTTATATACAGGGAGTCTAATTAAAAACTGGCAATGTTCTATAAGTTTGACCTAAAAGCTCTTGGAAATTGCTATTTAACAGTAAGTATTAAAAAACAAAATACTTTTTAATAGTTGTTTTTAAAAAATATTTCGCAACAAAAATTTCAAAATAATAAAAGACTATTTAAAAATGTACTCATGGAAGTTATTTCCTGCCTTTAATTTGTTTTTACGAGAACAAAATGGAATAATTTGATATTTAATGGTTTAATTTGATATTTATAGCAAGAAATTAAAATAAATAATTATAAAAATTATTTTGCGCATTTTTAAAACAATTTTTGTACTGTAAAATTGCAATTTTTATTTATTCATTAATTTTATGCCTCTAATTTAATTAATATTTCTATTTATTATTATTATTATTTTTTATAATTTTTGACTTTGTGAACACTCCGTATGAACTAGAGTAACAAAACTAAGCGAAATTTTAAATATTTTTTAATTTTAGGAGTTCTTCTGTTAATATCACTGAAGTGTATTCAAATCCAAGCTGGACTAAACAAAAACGCCCAGACGCATGCTAACTCGTTCTTATTGGTCGATTCTGATGGTGTGACTCGGATTGTGAGTTCTTATTGGTCGATTCGGAGGATTATGTTTACATTTAGTCCAGCTTGGATTTGAATAGACTTTAGATTACAAAATCGAAAAAAAATTCAGCCCACCATATCCCATTATAATTTTCCCATGTATTTTGACCCACTTAACACGAAAATCACACTCAATTTTTTTTTATGGAAGCGTTTTTGAAATATGAATTTTCAATTATGGAGGTGTTTTAACGTTTTTGAGTATAGCTTGAAATCTAATTGATCGATTTGGTCAAACAAGCCCTTAAATTGAAGGTATTTGAGCCCTCTAAAACTTTCTTTTACATACTTTTGATATCGGATAAGTATTTTGACGCTAGCGATATTAATAACTTTAATTAATTTGTTTTTGTGTCAAAAATTGAGGTCGAAAATTTACGTATCGTCCTGGAAAAGGTTTAAATCAAACAGATAACTCCAGTTTTAAATTTTTTTCGTGAAGCTGACATTTTTACAAAAAAACAGGCTAATGTTGATAAAAATACATGGAAAAATGACGAAGTTATGAATTTTTTAGTGGAAGAGCAAAATTCAGCTTTTTGACGATTTTTATTTAATTTTTTTTCTTTTATTTTGTAATATGTTTATTCTTTAATGAAAACCTAAATGATTGGAATTTTTTGAGTTTTTTACGTACTTTTTACAACGAAAACATTATTCAAAATGAGTAAAAGAAGTGGAGAGTTCGAGTGCGTAAATAACCCGCACAATCTGGGCGACGTAAGTGATGAGCACAGAGAACGTTTTCACCAGCAAATGAAGGCTATAGAGCCATGATGGGTGATTAAATTTGGTCCCTCATACGAGAAACGGAATACGAAAGCAACAAAAAATAAAGAAGGAGCCAGATTTTTTTTAAACCTATGCTTATTACAACAAAATAAAACTTTCAATTTCTTGTTTAATATTCAATATATAATTTAATTTCAATATTTAATGTTTAAAATAAAAATCAATGTTTAATATTAAATGTTATATAATTCAATAAAATGAAGAAAAAACGTAAAAATTTTCGAAAAACTGAATTTTGGTATTCCACTGAAAAATTCATAAATTTGCCATTTATTTATGGATTGTTATAAACAGCAGCTAATTTTGAGTTCTTCTGTCAATAATCTTCTGTTAATAATTATTACATGGGTATTAGGGTGATTCATTTCCGCAAAGTTTTGTTTTCTTCGGTGCTCAAGCAAAATTTCACGCTCTTTAAAATTGCTTTTGAGTTTTTTTTTGTAACTCGCATTGGTTCACCAGTAGCAGTCGTCAAAGGACAGTTTTTGAAAAAAATCGTTTTTTTTTAATTTCTTCTAACAAACCGCAAAAAGTAGGGAGAAAAAAGGGCTGAATCATAAAAAAAGTTATCCAACCAATATTTAATGAATTTACAGCCATTTTTATAACTGAAAACGTAAGAAATTGATAATTACCAACTCATAATGTTATTTAGATTGATTTTTTCTATTTATTATCATTATATTTCCCTACACTAAGAAGTTTTCTTAAAATTATTGATTTCTCACTTATAATGAATATGAAAACAACAGATAAATTCATAAAAAAACAATAAGAAAATTGTAACGTGGATTTTGCAATTTTTCAACATTTCTGTCATATAGCAAAAAAATATAAATGAAGATTATTTAATTTTTTAAAGCGAAATTTGAAATATGTTACATAACCTTATATTCCGATTAAAGTTTTGTTGTTTTTTTATGAATTTATGTGTTGTTTTCATATTCATTATGAGTGAGAAATCATAATAATTTTAAAAAAGTTCTTAGTGTAGGGAAATATAATGATAATAAATAGAAAAAATCAATCTAAATAACATTATGGGTTGGTATTTATCAATTTCTTACGTTTTGAGTTATAAAAATGGCAGTAAATTCATTAAATATTGGTTGGATAACTTTTTTTTATGAATCAGCCATTTTTTCTCACTATTTTTTTCAAAAACTGTCCTTTGACGACTCCTACTGTTGAACCAATGCGAGTTACAAAAAAAACTCAAAAGCAATTTTAAAGAGCGTGAAATTCCCCATAAGGTGTATTAAACCGATTTGCAATATTGTCAAAGGTGGGTAAGCATTAGAAATTTGAAAAAAAAATATATTTTTTACATGTATTTTAAACGGTAAAACTTTAAATTTAAATAGTAAGTGCTTAAAATTAATATTAAGAGCTCAAACTTGGTGAGAATGTTTTTTCCTATATGCAGATGAATATTTTGCTTGAGCACCGAAAAAAAACAAAAACTTTGCGGAAATGAATTACCCTAATGGGTATTATTATTATTATTATTATTATTATATTGTTTCTGTATAAATATTTGCAAAAAATGTAAAAAAATATTATATTTCAAAAGGATAAACACATATAATTTGATGTGCCAAATTACACATTTTTAAAAGGGTTTTGGTGAAGCAACTTAATTTTGTTAATTATTTTTCAACAAAAGCACCTATCTACGTCACAGGAATGACGTATATGAGGAAAAGGTTTCCTGCTGGTCCTGCAAATTCTTGTGACCTATTTTCGCTTGATCCAGGCCAAACCGATGAAATTTACATGCATTCGCCCTTGGGTTACTTTTCCCTTTTTATTTTTCGACGTAGCTACGCATTTTACAAATTCTATTTGTATCTTAATAAATCAGAAATATAATCTATTAGTTAATGAAAAGTTATATTATTTTAGTATTGTTATTGATTTGTGAAAAATATTATCTAAAAGGGACACGCCAATGTTTATATGAAAACTTACCTGTTACGTCAAGCATATGCACCTATTTCCACAACAACAAATAAAAATCAATCCACTTAATATATTACAAATAGTATTATTAATATTGTATTAAAGTTATGTTCATACAATACATACATACCAATCAATACAAAATGTTATTTTTTTATTTTGTGTCTGTTAGGCATAATTAAATTAATTAATAAAAATGTACGATAAAATTTAATGTACGAGGTGTGTTCAGAAAATAACGGGAATTGTTAAATTTCGCGGGTTCGGAGGGTCCAGTTGTCATAAAATTTTCTTTATTATGTTCGTATACATGCCCCCGAAGTATGATAAAAACTTTAGCTGTTTTCATTGTTTACTTTGTCTGTGGCAGCCGCTAAGGTTAGACGTGTTTTATGAGCTCGGCGATTTTTCGTTCGTTAAAAGAAATGGATCAAAGAATTTGTATCCAATTTTGCTTTAAAAATGAAATAAATTCTGTGAAATGTTAACAAAGGCCTATAGTGAGTCTGCTATAAGTAAAACAAGAGTTTACAAGTGGTATAAGAGTTACCAAGATGGCCGTGAAGACGTTGAAGATGACGAACGCCCCGAACGCACAAGCACATTAACAACCGATAAAAACATGGAAAAAATGAAAGAAATGGTTATAAACCATCAGAGAAGTAGCTGATGATGTTGCTATATCGATTGGCTCATCCCATGAAATTTTTCGAATGTTTTGGGTATAAAACGCGTGGCAGCAAAATTTGTTCTAAAATTGTTAAATTTGTTCTAAAATTGTTAAATTTTGAACAAAATTTTTGGCCAAAAACAATACTGTAATGATGCCCCAGCCTCCATATTCGCCAGACATGCCTCTGTCTGACTTCTTCCTATTCCCAAAAATATAGAGAACCTTAAAGGGCCGTCGTTTTACAAGCAAAGATGACATTAAAAGCGCATCGCTGAAAGAACTAAAGGCTATCCCAAAGATCGAGTTTTAGAAGTGTTTCGAGTATTGGAAGAAGAGCTGGCATATGTGCATAATATCCAATGGGGACTATTTTAAAGGCGACAAAATTAATGTAGACGAATAAATAAATATTTGTTTTAAAAAACAAAAATTCCCGATATTTTCTTAACACACCTCGTACTTACAAATTGTAGGCTACAATATAAAAAATTTTCTATAATGTACAAAAATATTTATAATAACAGATTCAAAGTGTAAAAATCCTTTTTTTTGATAATTAGGAAACTGACGCAGTATTTTTAAAGTAGGTCAACTAATTTATTGTTTTTTTGCCCTTTTGAAGAGACTCTAATGAAGTTTTGTCCCTGGTGTAGAAGAGATGAAGTGCTTTACAATTGCGTATCTGCAGTTAATTCCTAATTGTTTTAAGCTGAAATTAATTGATACATTTTTAATAAATTTAATTAAATTAATTTAAATAAACAAGGCACTAATTAAATTAATTATATTATTACTTATTATAAAGGGACCAAACAAGTTTTTCCTCTATCATTTTAGCATTAGTGGTATTTTTTTTATTAAAAAAATCATTAAAATTTGTATTAGTTAAGTAATAAATAGTGTAAATGTACCAATGAATAATGTTCAAATTCTTTAAATGTGTTTAATAAAGTTAATAAGCTCTAAATGCTACCTAGTGTATTTGTAGTGTAACTTTTACACTTACAAATCAACTCTAATATTTTTACCCCTACACTAACAAATTTACACGGACAAAATTTATTACTGTGTAGTTTATATATTTTTCAATGAATTGTGTGAATATACAAAAACAAAAATATCAATTTAAAAAATAGCAACACTTAAATTTTGCCTTTATTTTTTAAAACAGCATTCACTCAGAGAAATGCTTTCTATTTTGCACCTAAATTTAACACCCTTCTTTTCAAAGAAATAACTCAACTTAAACATTTTAAAACTTATAAAAGAGATGCCAAAAATTATTTAAATACTAATTTTATGTTTTTTAAATATAATAACCCAATAATTTTTTTATGTTTAATTTTCTTTACTTTCAGAACTTATACTATGTTTTACTTTCATGTTTTCTTGTTTCCTCCTTAGTTAACAGATTCTCTGGTATACATACAGTTATTTGGACTAGTATTTTTAGTATTTAAAAAATGGTAAAGTTATGCCAAATGCCTCAATGGCAGAAAAAGTACATCGCCTTATGGACATTTTTTGAGTAAAAAGTAACGTTTTTGGTTTTATAAATATTAAACCACACATTATTTTCAATAAAATAAAAATTATTTCCTGTTAGGTTCAACCTTTTTGTGAAAAATCTAGTACCTAGTTAATTCTCCTGTCTTTGAAAATAGCATCCATTTGGTTTGAAAAAGATAAGCAATAATAACGAAACTTTTTCTTCTTTCAATTTGCAAGTTACTGATCAATAATAGTCCTGGACAATATATAATTTAAAATTATTATTAAGCCACTACAAGTATTAACGTCCAATGGCTTTAACAAAATACCCATTCACCATTGGAGTCCAATAATATGCCAAATGCCACAATGGAAGAAAAAGTACATTTTTGGAGTAAAAAAGTAACGAATTTGGTTTTATAAATATTACATCACACATTATTTTCACATTATTCACCATTGGAAAACATTTACGTTCACAACAAATTTCTTTTATATAAATTCTTTTCAAAGCGAAGATTATTATCCGCTAGGAATACTTTCTCTTCTGGGTCGTAAAGCAACCTATATTTAACTACTTTTTTATATGATTTTACTCATCCGAGCACCATCAAACCCAAATTAATTGCATTTTTAACTACGAATTTCGACAACTCAACTTGACAACTGCACAATGTAACCTACAATAATTTATACATAACCACAATTAGATTTACAACTAGCTTAGTTTGTTTTAATCAATGCGACCAACTTGACAACTGGATTAACCAACCAAAACCCTAAATTTGCAACGTTGCTGCAGTACAGATAAAAAACAATGAACTTTATATATTTTATTATTATTATATTCTACGTTTATTATAAAAAAACTTATGTATATTCACAATCCACACAACAAGGTCTGTTCTATTTCGTACTAAAAATACAAAAAATCACTGCAACACTGCACAGTTTAACGGCGGCCATTTTTGTTGTTTACAATTTTTGTGCTTTGGGTTTGTGCTCTGTTTATACAGATTAATAATCGTTTTAAACGTTGTGTTTCTCATAGTAAGCCTTAAAAGAGTCCTTAAAGTGCTAAGAACAACCATTTTACTCCTCTATTGTAAAAAATAAACTTTATTCTATCAGGGCTGTCATAAAACTGTCAAATGTCAATTTTAAGGTTAAATTATAACTCACAAATTAACCTTCAAATTGTCATTTGACAGCCCTGATAGAATAAGGTATATTTATTATAAAAGAGGAGTAAAATGGTTGTCCTTAGCACTTAAAAACTTATTTGAGGCTTACAAGTGCCTCTGTAAGAAACACAACGTTTAAAACAATTATTAAACAGCACAAACCCAAAGCACAAGAATTGTAAACAACAAAAATGGCCGCCGTTAAACTCTGTGCAGTGTTGCAGTGATTTTTAGTATTTTTTGCATGAGATAGAACAGACCTTGTTGTGTGGATTGTGTGTATTTTTTGATTGTTTGCTTCAATAAATTGAATAGATATTATTAGAAATCAACTAGTTTTTGCGGTGAAAACTAAATAGGAAATGATTCATCTTAGGTCTGGCAGCTACCAAATCCGGACTAGCTTGCCCAGCGATAAACAGCAGACCCTTCTGAACCACATAACGCCCCACTCGGGGGTGATTCTGGAACCGAGCACGGCAGGTCAACCGCCCCTTCAACAGGTCCACGCCGCTCCTTCCGCACACGCTGAAAAGAAAACCAACCTGTCCAAAGTGCTACAAGGAATTACTGCCGCCAACATCTCAGGTAACAACTTATCTGTACTATGTTATTATTTTTGTAATAAATGATTTCCTGATAGCAAAATTTGATTCTAAGAATCTTCTAAGAAGATATGACCCGGAATAATGGAATATTTTTAGAACCTTCCCTTATTGCTAAGAATGTTCTTGGGGACTTTTAAAACATTCAATAGATACCCTTTTAATGGTGCAATTAGATTCTTAGAACCTTCTTAAAACCTTCCTAAAAAGCAGTCTAAGAATACGTTTTTGGAATGTCCTTAGAAGGTTTCTTATGGAGCTTCTAGGAAGCTTTTGAGAATATTTCCAAATATGTCAGATACCCACGTTCTAATATGTTGGATTCTACATTCGTAAAATTCTTCAGGAGGCGACAAATACGCCTCACTGTCATAATATGACAGTGAAATGTAGTTGTCGTCCCCTTAAAAAAATTTGCGACATATTAATATATATTTATTTAAAAATATTAAATAAACAATTTGACCTCTGACCATAAGTTGTATGACATTATTTCATAAAAAGTAAAATTGCAAAATGTTGTGGGATAAGTCAGAATAGAGGGAAGTTGAAGATAGGATTATTATACATAAAAATGTTAATTCAGAAATAAAAAATCGGTATACAAATTAATAAATACTTATTTTTAACATAAAATAAAATATAAAAAAACAAAATATTTCCTTATAAAATAATTCTTCATAAAAGAAAAAACCAAATAGTTCTTCATAAAAAAACATTTTTCATTGTATTTAAGTTGAATAGAAGATTTTATGTAAAAGCCGGATAATTTAGATACCTATAGTAAAAGTATTTTTGTTATCGAATATTGTTTTAATTTGACAAATAACTATAAAAAAATATTTTGTGTTTTGTTTTTTACTTAGTATTTAATACTAAGTATAGGTACCTTTATACGTAGATTATGGTATATTTTACTATTATATAGGTACCTAACTGAACTGAATATGCTTAACAGAATGTTCCAGGAATATTCATAAATGAACTTTCTATAGCAATTACTTTCTCAACATTCTAAGCATATGTTTAGAGTGGATTATTTTTTACCACTAAACCTTGCACCTTCTAAGAACCTGCCTATAGGCCAGTGAGAATATTCTTAGGATTATGCTATATTTCTTTTAAGCATGTTCTTTAGAAGAAATATAGCATGATCCTAAGAATATTCTCACTGGAAGGTTTAAAAAACATTCTTAGAACATGACTAGAAGAAATATAGCATGATCCTAAGAATATTCCCACTGGAAGGTTTAAAAAACATTCTTAGAATAAACTGTGCTATCATCTATAGATTCGAATTCATCAAAAACCTTCGGAAAAGTAAAGTCGGATTCTAGCAATAGAAAGTTGGTTAAACCTTGTAGAACTACGAAATTTTTCTTTAAAATATATTAATTGAACTATTTATTACAGCAGATTCGATGTCGTTAAGCTCACCACCGGGGATTCATAGTCCCAAAAGTTTCGATAAACTAATAGATGGGAATTTGCCAAAACGAGAAGAAGTGTCCAGTTTGTCGGAACAGTTGCAAAACTTGATTATGGGTAGAGTTGCCAACGCCAAAACGGCGACAAGGACAAGAAAAATTGTTGTATACGTATGCGCAGCAGATTCTCAAGGTAAACATCTTTCGAAGAAAAATAAAAAACGTTCGTTGTAAAACGTATTTCGTTTAGATTGTGGCGTGGAAAAGGCATCCTTGCACAACACCGTTTATCCCGAACTAAGGACGCGATGCAGAGCCAAGGGATACGAGCTACATATAGTCGATTTGCATTGGAAAACGCTTCTGGAAAAACAACAGGATCACGAATTTCCCGAGCTTTGCATTGGGGAACTTACACGTAAGATTTTATCGGGAAACTTTATCATAAAATTTAACATTGTTTACACAGTTTGCCAGTAATGTGCTTGATAATCATGGACAAGTGGATGTAATCTATACAAATTTCCAGAAAGCCTTTGACCAAATAGATCATAATAGACTTAAGATTAAATTAAAAAAAATCGGATTTTCTGACCATTTAATATTTTTCTTCATTTCCTATTTAACAGATAGAAAGCTTTATGTTTCTTACAATGAGTTTTGTTCTAAACCGTTTACTCCAACATCAGGTGTTCCACAAGGATCCAATCTAGGACCACTACTTTTTCTTATCTTCATCAACGACCTACCAGACATTTTAACAGCTTACAATTTACTAATTGCTGATGATCTGAAACTCTACTTAGAAATCAAAACTGTTGATGATTGCATTAAACTGCAAAATAATTTGAATAATCTATATAATTGGTGTATCATAAATAACCTTCATTTAAATATCAATAAATGCAAGAGTATGATATATACAAAGAAAAAGCATAGTATATTGTATAATTATGAAATCAACAATCTAAGGCGTTTAGAACAAGTTACTGAATTTAAAGATCTGGGAGTTAGGTTTGATACGAAGCTGAATTTTATAAATCATATCAACGCGGTTGTAAACTCATCTTTTAGAATGTTGGGTTTTCTCATTAGAAATACCAAGCAATTTATAAATGAAAGCTCATTAAAAATGCTGTATTTTGCATTAATAAGGTCAAAGATGGAATATGCTTCCATAATCTGGTATCCAATCTATCTAGTCCATATAACAAGCATTGAAATTGTACAACGCAAATTTTTAAAGCTCTTACATCTTGGAATATATAATGAATATCCAACTCAGGTATTTGACCATGATTTGCTACTATCGACATTTGAATTTAAATCTCTAGAAAAGAGAAGGGTTATTGCATCAATTTCATTTTTGTTTAGGTTGCTTAATTCTCAAATTAGTTGTAGTGGTTTGCTTTCTCAGATTAACTTTTCGGTGCCAAGATTGACTAGCAGAAATAAAATTACTTTTCTTCTAAGCTTTAATAGAACTAATTTGAGACTTAAGTCGCCCTTATTTGTGATGTGCAGTAACTTTAATAAATTCTGTGAATCTTGTGATATAAACTTTAATACGCTTAGCCATATAATTAAATATGTTAATTAGCATCTTTAAAGCACACATAATCTGTTGTTTAGGTTTATCTATATATTTTTTTATAATTTGAATACTATATAGTACGCATGTATCCTATTTAAATGTCCTGTAATGGTTTAAACTGTTGGGCAATAAATAAATTATTATTATTATTATTATCATAGAAAAATATATTTTCTTTTTTAGGACAAATGGAGGTGGCGTACGTAATTCCAGTGCTTTTCCTCAATAACTCACTGGGGACTCCCCTGCTACCAATCACAATAGAAAGTGCAGACTTTAAGATGGCCATGGAAAGCGCTGAAAATCAATCCGCTCAAAGTTTATTATCAAAGTGGTGAGTTATGAATTTAATATGAGAGCATCAAGGTTAGATTTATTAAAACCACCTGCTAAAAACTCAAACCTGGACGAGTGCCAAGGAACGTAAAGTATTTATAATTTAATAGGCCTACTACTGAAATATTGATGGCAATTAAGTGAAAAATTTGTTTACCAACTATTAACTAAAACAAGCAGATACTTAAGTGCGAACAATTTTAGGTACCAATTAGATAGCGATTCTCAACCACCTTGCTATCGCCTCCAACCGATCTCATCTCACATACCGGGCTTCAAGGAAACATCTACAGAGTTCAGGGAAAAAGCTTTCGAAGAGTGGCGGAGCGAAATTGAAAAGATGTTGGGAGTTCTCATCACAGTGTTCTCGCAAGAATTAAGGGACACCTACCTTACGACAGTGGTGGAGCAAGTATGTTATCGCATAAATTCAAATTTTGACCCTTGTACACAGCAAACGGAAAAATATAGAACTGTATAGGATGACTCCGCGTTTGAATATTAAATCCTAAAGTTTTATCAGAACTGTATTGAATCGTGCTTTGTTTTTATATTTTTCGGCTCTATACCTATGCACGACTATATTTAAAGTCAAACTCAATGGTGTCTTACAAGATACATTATTTTGATTTTCTATATTCAACAGAGAGGTAGAAACTCGACCCTGTCGAATGGTGCAGTCATTTATGTCTCTAGAAATTATTGAAAAAGGGTTCAGTCCAATGGTGCAGCAACTTCGGATTCCTATTTTTTTCAGAGACATTATACAAAAACAGCGCAATGCAATATCGCAACGGTTTCGACTTCTCTTTACACTACCAAGTTATAGAAACTGAAGTCTCTCTAATACTGTTCTAGTCAATATTTCTGAGAGTATAAAAAGAGAGTGTAAGAAGTTTTGATCTTTTGATGGATGCAACCCTGATAGCAAAATTTGATTCTAAGAATCTTCTAAGAAGATACGACTCGGAATAATGGAATATTCTTAGAACCTTCCCTTATTGCTAAGAATGTTCTTAGGGACTTTTAAAACATTCAATAGATACCCTTTTAATGATGCAAGTAGATTCTTAGAAGCTTCTTAAAACCTTCCTAAAAAGCAATCTAAGAACATTTTAAGAATACGTTTTTGGAATGTTCTCAGAAGGTTTCTTATGGAGCTTCTAGGAAGCTTTTGAGAATATTTCCAAATATGTCAGATACCCACGTTCTAATATGTTGGATTCTACATTCGTAAAATTCTTCAGGAGGCGACAAATACGCCTCACTGTCATAATATGAAAGTGAAATGTATTTGTCGTCCCCTTAAAAAAATTTGCGACATTTAATATATATTTGTTTAAAAATATTAAATAAACAATTTGACCTCTGAACCATAAGTTGACATTATTTCATAAAAAGTAAAATTGGAAAATTTTGTGGGATAAGTCAGATTAGATTGAAGTTGAAGATAGTAGGATTATTATACAAAAAAATGTTAATTCAGAAATAAAAAATCGGTATACAAATTAATAAATATTTATTTTTAACATAAAATAAAATACCTAAAAAGTATTTTTGTTATCTAATATTGTTTTAATTTGATAAATAACTATAAAAAATATTTTGGGTTGTTTTTTACTTAGTATTTAATACTAATTACTTTCTCAACATTCTAAGCATAGGTATGTTTAGAGTGGATTAATTTTTACCACAAAACTTTGCACCTTCTAAGAACCTGCCTAGAGGCCAGTGAGAATATTCTTAGGATTATGCTATATTTCTTTTAAGCATGTTCTTTAGAAGAAATATAGGATGATCCTAAGATTATTCTCACTGGAAGGTTTAAAAAACATTCTTAGAACATGCCTAGAAGATATATAGCATGATCCTAAGAATATTCTCACTGGAAGGTTTAAAAAACATTCTTAGAATAAACTGTGCTATCAGGGAAGTAGTTTGAATTTTCTCATTTCTGCATATGATTTTGTTGAAAATAGTTCCTTTCTTTGGTTCCTTTGTCTGATTTTTATTTACTGTAACAACTCAGGTATGTAAAGCACAGAGGATATGATGTTAAGTAAATTTATGTATTATATAAAGTACCTAAAAATTTCAGAGGTTATGTTGAAAAAATGATCGATATGCTATTAAACTTTAATAATTTAGTAATGAGGTCTGTCGGTAGACCCTGCACTATTTCCACTGGTATATGTTAGTACAGCAATATTTAAATCTGGTTGATGAAAAAGTACACAACAGTGCAGGTTATTGTAGCATCTACGAACAAATGAATTAATGGCCCATTGGCAATTATTCCTTTAGGAAAAATATTCAACACAGCTTAATTAATTAATAAAATGAAAAAAATCACAATCATGTCGTATATAGTTTTTTAAGCATAAAATAGTTTTCATATTAATACTAGTTCAAAAGTGAAATTACGACCTCTATACTGTGGAGAGTATTGAAACGCTCGACTGACGAATACAAATCTATACCGTGGGGAGATTTAGAAAACTATATTCAAACGTGGCGTCATCCTATACACTTCTATAATTTTCCGTTTGCTGTGAACGATAGGGCTTTATTATTTTATTATAATTACTTTATTGGGGTTGTCACAGCTTTTATAAATCCTATGACACCTCCATAAAGCTATAGCTTTATAAATGGTGTCTTTAGACAAAGCTGGTTAGCATGTAATCAGTATTCTTTTTAAACAATTTTGCCGTAGTATATACAATATTGCTTTGGTTCAGAGTAGTATTAAAACTATTGTCTCTCGAATAAAGACTTTAATATTTTATGAAGACCTAAGTACAAGTTTAAATTAAATATGCTTGTATGTAAACTGCGCACCACTCAATGTGTCGCGACCAAAAAGTTCGTTCTTTTCAGAACGACATAACTTTTTTGTTTCTTGAACGATTTTATTTTGGTCTGTGATGTCTCCTAGCCCCATCCTCTGACAATTCATGATATAGATATGAAGCTCAAGTAAATTTCCTACAGGGTGATATGTTAAATGGTGAAAAATTTCAGTATCTTCATCCAAGCCCCGTTTGTTAAAAAATATTTTTTTTTCGTTTTTACTTTAAAATAATAAAGTATTATGTCTTACCTTGAACGAAAATATGATTTTTTTCCAAAAGAGTAAGGCTTTTTTGTAGGCAATTTAACAGCCGGGAATTGTTTTCGAATTTTGATTCTTAGTGATTTTGGTTTTATGTGAAACTTAAATTTGACAACTGAATCACAATCAGGAGGTCAAAATTATAAAGAAAACCTGTCACGAACGTAAATATCGGTTCAGGATTAGTTTTCGCAAATTTTCACCAAAATGTCATTTTGAAAAAGTGGCTTAGGCCCCTCTGAAAATAATTGAAGTTTGTTGCTTTTCGCTTGTTCAGAATTATTCAAGGAACAATCTGTCACCATCTTAAAAAGACTGAGTGTATTGCCTACCAAAAAGCCTTAAATGTACTCTTTCTAAAAAAAATTGTATTTTCTTTGCTAAGATTTCAATACGAAAAAAATTAAAACCTTTTCAAGGTAAGACATAATACTTCATTATTTCAAAGTAAAAACGAGAAAAAAATATTTTTTTTACAAACTGGACTTGAATGAAGTTATTGAAATTTTTAACCTTTTTACATATCACCCTGTACGAATGAAGAAAGCAGAAATCACAGACCAAAATAAAATCGTTTAAGAAATAAAAGAGTTATGTCGTTTTGAAAAAGGACGATCTTTTTGGTCGCGACACATTGAGTGGTGCGCAGTTTAGTTTATAATAATATTTAAAAGCAATATTTCTTCATCCTGGGGTGATATTTTAATGTAAAAAGTACTCACAGCACAAGCAAATAGTCATAGGACAGTGTCATCCAGAAATTTGGTTTTAAATGCTTTCATAAAACATACTTTTTATGAACCCTTAAAACCAATATACTTCCATAAAGCTAAATAAGCCTTAAGGGTCTCTTAAGTAAATATGGTTTTATAAGGGTATAAATGACATCCCATAATAAAGCAAAGTTAAAGTGTAATAGGCGTTATGGTTTTAAAAGTAGGTTTTGTTGTGTCCAATGAAGCTTTTTAATAAAGTAATATCGCTTTGATATAATATTTAGGTAAAAGCCAAGAGTCACATACATGTAGGGTTGGGAAAATTTCACTTTTTGCTTGTACTTGAAATTTCATTTGAAATTTTCATGACATTTATGAAATTTATTAAAATTTCCTAAATGTCTGAAATTTCATGAAATTTATTGAAACTTTCAATAAATTTCGATCACTTTAAGTGTAATATATTAATATTGAAATAAGCCCACTCGGGGACCATGGCAAATTGCCTCTCTTACCTCCTACCCCTCTGTGGGCCCCTGCACCAATAATATAAATAGTAAATACCTATGTTTACCACAAATTTCTTGAGATTTCCTTTTAAAATATTTTTAAAATTACTAAAACTAAAAGAGATATAGCACTTTTTGGTAAGCTAATGAGATTGTGCCACTTTCATTGTTTTATATTTATATATATTTATTATTTTTAAATATTTTACTGAAATTTTACGAAAATTGAAGAAACTTCATCAAAATTTTATGAGCCAAAGGCATTTTTTTTTCGTTTTCCGATGCAATTATAGCAAAAGTAAAAGTTTAAATTAATCATGACTTTTAAAAAAAATTTAAAGTCTGATTTAATTTACAAATTAAATTGGTAACTGAATTAAATTATTTAAATTAATTTATGCATATAAGTAACAATAATTACTTATAGTGTATTCAAATCCAAGCCGAACTAAACAAAAACGCCCAGACGCTTGATAACTCCCTCTTATTGGTCGATTCGGAATCTGTTGTAAATTATTATTAAAGGTCCCAGGGGAGGCCGCATGTGAAATTTATGCGAAATTTTTAGTAAATTGCGAAACTTTCAATGAAATTTCTGAAACTTTCCCAACCCTACATACATGTGTTACTTAGAAATGTTTTAATTTGTTTTATATGTATTCAAGGAAGTACACAACACGGTATTTATGAGCCAAGAGTTGGCCAAGAGGTGCATTTGGATGAACAGGGTATACATGCCGACTGAGAAAACTCCCGAAAACATGACCCCTTGTGATGCTGAAGGTTACAGAAGACTGAGTGTTTTACAGAAGGATTTAAGGGTGATACCAACATACAAATCAAAAATAACTTAACTCCAATCCCAATTATTGTAGAATCAACTAACAGAAAAGCACATAAATCGCATCCCAGTCAAATTTGTGGAAGGCGGTTTGAACTTGGAGAACCCTGATCACCAACAGTACGTCTCTATAGTGACGACGAATTTACAGAAACAATTACAGGAAATGATTGATTCTATAATAGAAGAACACCAGGGCAAAACGATGTTAAAGCCGAGTTACGGAATTGAGGCTGCCCTCTTTGAGGAGCTCAACCAGCAGACCAGTTTTTGCCAAAAAGCTGCACAATGTAGTATTAATAGGGACAAAACAATAACTAACATTAGATTGTGAGTACATTTTCTCACTTTTATGATTATTGTATTGATGCTTTTTTTCTAGATATATTACCGGTGAAAGCACAGCCCCTTTATTCCTCTACGGTCCTGGTGGTTGTGGAAAAACCACACTGTTGTCTCGTGTCGCACAGTGTTGCCAGCAGTGGTTACCCGAAGCTTTTGTTATTTTAAGATTCGTCGGTATTAGCGCTCAGTCGAGCACTTTAGAGCAAATACTTAGTTCAATTACAAATCAGTGTTCAATTTTAACCTATGGTCATAAATGTTTCTGCGAGCACGTGAGTATATACCTAATTACATTACATTACATTACATAATTACATTTTAAAGTTTTTACATCAAGTAGTAAATATTTGTTTTAAATTAAAAATTTAAGCAGTGTGCCTTTCTTAGGGTTTTAAAGGTATCCCTGATAGCAAAATTTGATTCTAAGAATCTTCAAAGAAGATATGACCTGGAATAATGGAATATTATTAGAACCTTCCCTTATTGCTAAGAATGTTCTTAGGGACTTTTTAAACATTCAATAGATACCCTTTTAATGATGCAATTAGATTCTTAGAAGCATTCTAAGAACATTTTAAGAATACGTTTTTGGAATGTTCTTAGAAGGTTTCTTATGGAGCTTCTAGGAAGCTTTTGAGAATATTTCCAAATATGTCAGATACCCACGTTCTAATATGTTGGATTCTACATTCGTAAAATTCTTCAGGAGGCGACAAATACGACTCACTGTCATAATATGACAATGAAATGTATTTGTCGTCCCCTTAAAAAATTTTGCGACATATTAATATATATTTATTTAAAAATATTAAATAAACAATTTGACCTCTAAACCATAAGTTGTATAACATTATTTCATAAAAAGTTAAATTGGAAAATTTTGTGGGATAAGTCAGATTAGATTGAAGTTGAAGATAGTTAGGATTATTATACATAAAACTGTTAATTTAGAAATAAATAATCGTTATACAAATTAATAAATATTTATTTTTAACATAAAATAAAATATAAAAAAACAAAATATTTCCTTATAAAATAATTCTTCATAAAAGAAAAAACCAAATAGTTCTTCATAAAAAAAAACATTTTTCATTGTATTTAAGTTGGATAGAAGATTTTATGTAAATGCCGGATAATTTAGATACCTATAGTAAAAGTATTTTTGTTATCGAATATTGTTTTAATTTGACAAATAACTATAAAAAAAATATTTTGGGTTGTGTTTTTTACTTAGTATTTTTTACTTAGTATTTAATACTATAGGTACCTTTATACGTAGATTATGGTATTTTTTAATATTATATAGGTACCTAACTGAACTGAATATGCTTAACAGAATGTTCCAGGAATATTACTAAATGAACTTTCTATAGCAATTACTTTCTCAACATTCTAAGCATATGTTTAGAGTGGATTAATTTTTACCACTAAACTTTGCACCTTCTAAGAACCTGCCTATAGGCCAGTGAGAGTATTCTTAGGATTATGCTATATTTCTTTTAAGCATGTTCTTTAGAAGAAATATAGTATGATCCTAAGAATATTCTCACTGGAAGATTTATAAAACATTCTAAGTACATGACTAGAAGAAATCTAGCATGATCCTAAGAATATTCTCACTGAAAGGAAAACATTCTTAGAATTAACTGTGCTATCAGGGATCTGTCGTGTTTAATTTTGCAAATTTTGTGTTAGGTCATGCATATGCTTGAGGATACTTATCAATTTTTGCGGATGGCCTCTTCCCTTCTTGTTTGACCTCTTTTGTTTGTCAAGTGAAAAGCGTCCAATGACAGGTGGTAGGACCACCCAGAAGCTGAAACTTGTCACTAAACTCATTATTATCACTTAACACTTCACTCTTTATTGATTGTTACACTATATTAGATTGCACTTTATAAAAATTGTTTATTGGTTTTGCCTCTTTTGTTTGTCCAGTGAAAAGCGTCCAGAAGCTCACTTGTCACTTAACTCTTTCTCATCACTTAACTCTTAACTCATTCTTGGCCGTAGGGTAGCCTTTACTCACAGTAGTTGTTTCACTATAATTTGTTAGCATTTTTAAAAATTATTATTTTTGGTTTTGACTTTTACGTTTAAAAAGCTCTCGCTGATACAATGCGTCTTGCCTTGTCAAGTGCTGGGCGGGATTTGTTTTAAATTACCTATATGCTAACAAAAAAATAAAATAAAAAACTTTCATATATCGACACTTGCTATTTGTAGAATAATAAAATAAATAATAAACTGAAAAAGTTTCACCTTGAAAAGAAATAATTTGAGAAAGTTTATGAACATTTCTTCTATAAACACTTTTTAATTTTAGCAAAACCCCATTAAAAAGTATTTTAATAAAAACTATAAAACATCAAAAAATATTCAAAACTATAAATTTTCCACTTTTAATATAAAAAATTGACTATTACCTCGATTCTACAAAAATGGCGGCCTGTTCAAGAATTTTTTTGAGGAAAAAAATCGATTTTTTTAATGAATTTGTTCTATACTTTTATATACCTATCCTTTCTTCTAGAAATCGTTATTTAGCATTTATGAGGTAAGAATTTCTCAAAAACCTGAATTCGGCATCAAAAACTTGTCTGATTTTTACAATGTATACAACCTTGGTTAAATCTTTTTTTTTTAATCCTGATCACTTCCCAATTGGTATTTATCATTGATATTTTTTTTAGAATTTGGAAACTTACGAGAAGGAGTTCCCAAATCTTCTGAAGGCCAGCTGCTTGCAAAGGCCGTTAATCATAGTTTTGGACGGCATAGATCAAGTGAGGCCGTACAGCTCGAAAACAATTGACTGGCTGCCCACCAAGCTTCCGGACAACGTAAAACTAATAATTTCTGTATCAGAAGGTAGCGAAATACACGATGAAATCACTCGTAAATTTAACGAAAATAGTTTTATTAAAATGCCTCTTCTCGGAGAGGCTGAAGCCAAAGGTATTCTTATGTCTAGCGTAATGCAATATAATCATAGCGTTAATTCTAAAATTCAAGACTGTGTGTTGAAATCTGTCCAAGAGTGCACTCTTCCATTATATTCCAAGGTAAGTTGTACTATTACCTGTATTTCTTGACACACTGTTTCCAACAAAATGTATGCAAATAAACCCTTTATCAAACCAAATGAAATGTAATATGTGAATCATTTTAAGACTATTCAACGTCTCAATTGAGTTTAAACTGCTTTAAATACCTTTATTACATTGTTTTGCTGAGAGAGGTTTATATGCAAATAAATTGCAATTGTCCAATTATTCAATTATCACATAATTCGTTATATTTTTAGGTTTTAGCTTGGCAAACGTCTTGGTGGGTGGATAAAGAACACGACATCGTTCCTAAAGGTCACGTAGATGATCAATTAAGCTTAATGTTAGAGGAATTGGAAACCATACTGGAAAAGACGCAGGTCCAGCATGCCCTTGCAATCATTACGTGTACCAAACACGGTGTCACAGATTCGGAAATGATAGACTTGCTCGCGTTTGACGAGAACTTTCATAGCAGCACTACTTATGGTAAGAAAAATCCTTTGGAAAGCCTGGTATTTGCAGTTTAAAATTTTTCTTTCAGTTTCTTGGGCACCAGCTTGTTTGGCATGGTCCAGGCTGAACAAACATTTAGCTCCTTTTCTGCAATGGACATTGACAGGTGGCGTACTGGGCGTTCAATGGAGAGACAATATGCTCAGACAAGCCGTAGCAACAAGATACAAGGAGCACACTAAATGGGCTCACCAAATGATATACGATTATTATATTGTAAGTATTGATTTTGATGGTGTTTAATTAAACAAATATTAGAAATATTCCCCAACACCAAAACAAAACATAAAGTGCTTAAAGTACTTTTCGATGTTGGCATCTTTAGAAGCGAAGTGTGACTAAATCAAATCTACCATATTTATACTAATTATAAGCTAAGGTTGACTGAACCGTACAGCAAAAGGAAAAATATAGAAGTGTATAGGATGACTTGAATACTAAATCTTAAAGTTTTATTAGAACTGTATTGAACCGTGCTTTGTTTTTATATTTTTCGCCGCTATACTTATACCCCTGATAGCAAAATTTGATTCTAAGAATCTTCTAAGAAGATATGACCCGGAATAATGGAATATTCTTAGAACCTTCCCTTATTGCTAAGAATGTTCTTAGGGACTTTTAAAACATTCAATAGATACCCTTTTAATGATGCAATTAGATTCTTAGAAGCTTCTTAAAACCTTCCTAAAAAGCATTCTAAGAACATTTTAAGAATACGTTTTTGGAATGTTCTTAAAAGGTTTCTTATGGAGCTTCTAGGAAGCTTTTAAGAATATTTCCAAATATGTCAGATACCCAAGTTCTAATATGTTGGATTCTACATTCGTAAAATTCTTCAGGAGGCGACAAATAGGCCTCACTGTCATATGTATTTGTCGTCCCCTTAAAAAATTTTGCGACATATTAATATATATTAATTTAAAAATATTAAATAAACAATTTGACCTCTAAACCATAAGTTGTATGACATTATTTCATAAAAAGTAAAATTGGAAAATTTTGTGGGATAAGTCAGATTAGATTGAAGTTGAAGATAGGATTATTATACATAAAAATGTTAATTCAGATATAAAAAATCGGTATACAAATTAATAAATATTTATTTTTAACATAAAATAAAATATAAAGAAACAAAATATTTCCTTATACAAAAATTCTTCATAAAAGAAAAAACCAAATAGTTCTTCATAAAAAAAAACATTTTTAATTGTATTTAAGTTGGATATAAGATTTTATATAAAAGCCGGATAATTTAGATACCTATAGTAAAAGTATTTTTGTTATCGAATATTGTTTTAATTTGACAAATAACTATAAAAAAATATTTTGGGTTGTGTTTTTTACTTAGTATTTAATACTAAGTATAGGTACCTTTATACGTAGATTATGGTATATTTTACTATTATATAGGTACCTAACTGAACTGAATATGCTTAACAGGAATATTCCTAAATGAACTTTCTATAGCAATTACTTTCTCAACATTCTAAGCATATGTTTAGAGTGGATTAATTTTTACCACTAAACTTTGCACCTTCTAAGAACCTGCCTATAGGCCTTAGGATTATCCTATATTTCTTTTAAGCATGTTCTTTAGAAGAAATATAGCATGATCCTAAGAATATTCTCACTGGAAGGTTTAAAAACATTTTTAGAACATGACTAGAAGAAATATAGCATGATCCTAAGAATATTCCCACTGGAAGGTTTAAAAAACATTCTTAGAATAAACTGTGCTATCAGGGGAGGGTTTATAAAACTGTATTTAAACGTGGCATTATCCAATACACTTTTATATTTTTCCGTTTGCTGTGTGTAGAAACTTCCATAACTATCTAGCAGACTTGGTTCCCTAACTCCTTAATTAGTTTAAGGTTGTCAAATCCTATTATATGACCATCATCAAGTATATGTTGGGCAGCACTCAATTTCTCTGTCCTACCAAATCTAGCATGAGCCAAGTGCAATAACTTGGATGAATCGTTTAGTTTGTCCAACATATTTCTTGTCACAATCTTGACAGCTTATTTCGTAGATCCCCGATTTTTCAATTTTGGGAATCTTATCTTTGGGGTCGCCTAAAAAAGTCTGAAGTGTATTATTACTGCTTGAACTATAAGCAATTTTGTCCAGTTTGCGAAAAATCCCTTTCAAATATTTCTAATATTTGTTAACATATTAAAGTTTTCAAGTGTTTATTTAAGTTTAATATTTTTAAGGGGAAATGGTGGACGACCAAACCCAAAAATGTACAAGCCAGACTTGTTTCTCAAGACAACATTCTAGGAAAATGGTATGTAAAGACTTCCAACATACTCTTCACAATCATTCTTTATATTGTTCCAATTTTTCTCAGTTACAATAGAAGAAAACTAGATGAACTGCCATTCCATTACTACCAACTAAACTCGGAAATAGAAAAATCCTCCTTCATATCAGACTTAAGTTGGATATACGATAAAGTCTGCGGTTCGAACTGCTACCAAATCCTGGAGGACATAAACCTTCAATCCGAAATCACCGAATCGTACACAAAACTGATAAAAGACTTTATCGAGACGCACGCCAGTCTTCTGAACTACGACGGCCGACAGTTCTACTCACACCTGAACAAATATTTGGAGGACAAAATAAAGAAGAACGAATTGACGGACTTGAGCGATAAAGTGAAGGAAATGCACGAGCTCGCCAAGAATCCTCCGGTTTTGACGTTGATACCGCTTAATTGCGAAACATTGGACCAAGACAGTGAAAATAAGGACAGGACATTTAAGGATGTCGCGTTCGACTTAGTTTGTAGGGTACCTGACACCGACAGGTTCATCGTTACTGTGTCTACCAATAAACAGGAGATATGCGTGTGGGATGTTCAAACGTAAGACATTAACTTCTTAAAATTTACCTTATTTAGTTTCTTAAGCTTTTTGTATTCTTCGGATTTTTTAGATTCATTAAATTCTTTAAGTTCTTTATATTCTTTAGGTCTTTGTTAGTCTTCGAAGCTTCGAAGATCTTCTTTAGCTTATTCTCTATTTTCCTTATTCTTTTTGAACTTTCTTGTAGCGCCTTTGTAGCTTCTTCTATAGTATGTTCCTTAGCTTTTACTATAGCTTTCCCTTTAGCTTCTTTATTGACTTATTGTTTAGCTTTTTTAGATTTTACTTTGGCTTCTTCAACTTTACCTTATTGTACTTATTAGATTCTTTAGCTTATTCTATAGCTTTTTTTGGCTTTTTTATTCTTGTTTAGCTTCTTATTTTTCTTTAGCTATTTTGAGCTCCGTTAGCTTTTTCAATAGCTTGTTTACAGTTTTTTTAGATTCTCCTTCAGATTCTTAAACATATTGTTTAGATTCCTCTTTATCATTTTTAAGCTTTTGCCTTAGAATCTTTAGCTTAGCTTCTTTTTGGCCTTTTCTTTAACTTTTACTCTAGCTTCTTCTTTAGCTTTTTCCTCAGCTTATTCTTCTACTGGTTCTTTTAGCATATTTATTAGCTAAGTTTACCTATTTAGTTTCTTTAGCTTTTTTTGTATACTTTGGATTCCTTAGATTCATTAAATTCTTTTAATTCTTCAGATTCTTTAGGTCTTTGTTAGGTTTCTAAGCTTTAGAGAACTTGTTTAGCTTATTCTTGTTAGCTTTTTTTTTTAACTTTTTTTAGCATCTTTGTAGCTTTTTCTTAAGTATGTTCTTTAGCTTGTACTTTAGATTCTTCTTTAACATTTTTTAGCTTCTGCATTGGAATCAACTTTAGCTTTTTTTGGCTTCTTCTTTGGATTTGTTTAGCTTCTTATTTTCCTTATTTTTTTTAGCTATTTTTAGCTTTATTAGTTTTTTCAATAGTTTCTTTATTGACTTCTTTTATAGCTTTTTTAGATTTTACTTCAGATTCTTAAACATATTGTTTAGATTCCTCTTTAACATTTTTTAGTTTTTGCCTTAGAATCTACTTTAGCTTATTTTATAGCTTTTTTTAGCTTCTTCATTAGATTCTTGTTTAGCTTGTTACTTTCCTTATTTTTCTTTAACTATTTTTTAGCTTCGTTAGCTTTTTCTTTGGCTACTTTATTAACTTCTATAGCTTTTTTAGATTTATCTTAAGATTCTCCATCAGATTCTTAAACCTATTGTTTAGATTTTAACTAAGAATCTTTAGCTTAGCTTCGCTTCTTTTTTTGCTTTGGTTAGATTAATAAGCTCTTTTTAGTCCTTTAACTTTAACTTTAGCTTCTTCTTTAGCTGGTTGTTTACCTTCTTTTTAGCATAAGTATTTTGCTGCTAAGTTTATTTTATTTAGTTTCTTTAGCTTTTTTGTATTCTTCGGATTCTTTAGATTCATTAAATTCTTTTGATTCTTCAGATTCTTTAGGTCTTAGTTAGGTTTCGAAGCTTTGAAAATCTTGTTTAGCTTATTCTCTATTTATTTTACTCTTTTTTAGCTTTTTTTAAAACTTTAATTAATGTAGTTTTTTTAAGTATGTTCTTTAGCTTGTACTTTAGCTTCTTCTTTAGCCTTTTCCTAAGCTTCTTTATCTTTATTAACATTTTTATTTTTTTTAGATTCTACTTTTGCCTTAAAATCTAATTTAGCTTATTTAGCTTTTTGTTTAGCTTTTTACTTTCCTTTTTTTAGCTATTTTTATTTTGTTACTTTTTTCTTTAGCTTCTTCTATAACTTTTCTTAGATTCTACTTTAGATTCTTAAACCTATTGTTTATATTCTTCTTTAAAATTTTTTAGCTTTTGCCTTAGAATCTTTAGCTTAGCTCCTTTTTAGCCCTTTCTTTAACCTTAACTTTAGCTTCTTCTTTAGAAGGTTCTTTAACTTATTTTTAGCATATTTTGTTGCTTAGTTGATCTTATTTATTTTCTTAAGCTTTTTGTATTCTTTGGATTCTTTAGATTCATTAAATTCTATAAATTCTTCAGATTTTTTAGGTGTTTATTAGGCTTTAAATCTTCGGTTATATTGTTTAGCTTATTCACGATTTTCCTTATTCTTTTTAGCTTCTTTTTGAACTTTCTTGTAGCGTCTTTGTTGCTTTTTCTTAAGTATGTTCTTTAGCTTCTTCTTTAGCTTTTTCCCGAGCTTCTTTTTATTTATTTTTATTTTTTAAGATTCTTCTTTAGCTTAAGCTATAATTATGTACCTACATCCTTTAACTTATTTTTTAGAATCTTCTTTAACATTTTTTAGTTTTTGCCTTAGAATCTACTTTAGCTTATTCTATAGCTTTTTTTAGCTTCTTCTTTAGATTTTAGTTTAGCTTTCCTTATTTTTCTTTAGCTATTTTTTAGCTTCGTTAGCTTTTTCCTTAACTGCTTTATCGACTTCTTCTATAGCTTTTTTAAGATTCTACTTTAGATTCTCCTTCAGATTCTTAAACCTATTGTTTAGAATCTAAACTTTAGCCTATTTTTAAGGTTCTTTAGCCTTTTTCAGATTTTTAGCTTTTTCCTTTGCTTCTTTCTTAGCTTCTACTTTAGAGTCTACTTTATCTTTTTTGTTAGGTTCTGTTGACTTCTTTTTAAGTTTTTTTTAGATTCTACTTTAGCTTTAGCTTTTCAGATTCTGCCTTTAGATTAAAGTTTTTTAAGCTTGCCAACCTTATTTTTCTTTTCATTTTGCTAAAGAACAAATTTTTCTTTAGCTTTGTCTTAAGCTTCTCTATTGGGTTCTTTTATATTTTTTTTAGATTATTTATATTTTTTAATTTATTGTTTAGATTAATTAACATTTTTTAGCTTCTTTCTTTGCTTCTTCTTTGTCTTTTTTTAGTTCCTTCTCTAGCTTATTATTTAGCTTCTTCTTTGTATTTTTCTTTATTTTATTTTCAGCTTCATAGCTTCTTCCTAAGCTTTTTGCTCAGCTAATCGTTTAGATTTAGATCTCTTTATTAACTTTTACCAAGACTTTTACTTTATATTTTTCCTCAGCTTCTTCTTTAGTTTATTGTTCTACTGGTTCTTTTTAGCATATTGTATAGCTTATATTTATCCTAGTTAGTTTAAAAGATTATAACTAGAAAACCTTTTCTATAACTAAAAACTTTTGAAATGATAATTTTTAGGTCAAAGGCTGTAAGGACATTGACGGGAGTGCCTCATCCGACCAACTTAATACCGATAGACCAGTTCAAATGTATAGTATTATGTAGAAGGGAGTTAAGAATATACGACTTAAACTCTGGTAGTTTCCTGACCAAGCTTAAGGGAGTTATGAACCAGAAAATGCCTTATTACGGGCTCCACGACCAATCGCATCTTGTAGCGCTTAGTAGAAACAGAATGTACATTAATCTCATGAACTTGGAAACAGGTGATTGCGTTACTACTTTCAAGGCTGGGGAGGACCGCTTTCTTAATTCCCTGCTGGTTTCAGGAGATGGGAGGTATGTACGTTTAAGGAGGATATGTCCATTGAAGCTAAAAAATTCTTTTGCATTTCATTTCAGAGTCCTTGTGTGTGGTGACGAGACCCAAAAACCTTTTCCTTTGTTAGTGTGGAACTTGCAATCGAAGAAACTGCTGTACGACCTTAGAATATCCCATCACGATTTTATCACCTCGTTGTCTGCAATAACCTACGAGGGAAACTATGTTTGTTGCGTTTGTCACGAGATCGACGAACCTAATCCGAATTTCATTGTTGTTTATGATTTGCAAAGTGGCACTTTGTTCAAAAAATGGAAGCCGTCCTGTAACACGGTTTCCTTAGAAATAAGCTCTCAAGGTGGCTGTGTCATTTCTGGACTGGAGGATGCCAGGATTCTCGTGTGGGATCTCATAACAGGTAAAGCGTTTTAAAAAATATTTTGTTCTTGGTTGATGTTTTTTTTTCAATTCAGGAAACTGCCGATGGTCTTTGTTTGGACACACAGCTCCAGTTTCTACTTTAAAATTGGATCCTACAGGTGGCATGTGTCTTTCGACAGACGCTGATTGTAGGGATCGTTCTATACGAGTTTGGGATCTCAATAAAGGTATTTTTTATATATATATATAAAGATGAGCCTTTCCATCGCAGGTCGTTATTTTTTAACGAATCGATGAGACCTGTATTTTTTCTTTTTGCCTAAATTTGTTTTATTTACCCGTAGAAAATTTTTGAAAAATTATGTTTTTTTCTTGAAAATGCAATAATTTGGCCAGAAATGTTTCGATTTTACAATTTTTTTTAAAAGTGAATTCATTCAATTTTACTTCATCTTTTTTTGTTTGAAGTTGACAATATGAACAAGTCTCGAGTTGGCTAAATTCGTCGTTTCTGAATTATTATTTTTTAATGAAAATACCATTTTCTAGTAAATTCGTGGTTCATGAACCGTTCATCGCAAAAATCTGGTATTTTTTCTAGGGTCATGAAACTGGGATAACCTTTATAAAGTGTAATTTAGAACTTTTTGACATATTTGACATATTTTTTTCACTTCCGGTTTCACCGGAAATGGTCCTCACTTTTTATTTTTTAGTGAAAGACCCAATGCATTTTTACATACTTCGATTCAAAATAAAATTCTGAATACATACATATGTCATTTTTACATTTTTTACAGGGTAAATCATTTTTTTTATTAAATTTTATATCTATATCTAGAATGCCTTGAATTGACTTTTCTGCTTCATGTTGGGCCAAATACAATTTTATTCTTTTTTTGCAATGCTATAAGTATAGTATGGTATAATATAGTATTAGTATACTTTTTAGGAGCTTTTAAAAATTAAAAAACCCTACTTTATGTCAAAACAATTTTTTTTAATAAAAGGTGCTTTGTTGCAGTGGCGAAGTAAACCCGTCGGGGGCCCGGGGCGGTAAAATAAAATTGGGCCCCTAGTCTGCTTATGAAATAATGTAATTGTTTTGTATACCTATATTAATGTTATGTTATTTTAAATTTTTTAGTAGATCTCTTAATGTAATCAGGGATATGAAAATTGATTACAAGCTTTTTCCAGCAAACTTATAAGTATACTTATATAAATATATATTTGAACTTGTTAATAATTTAAATTTTAAAAATCAAGGGGCCCACTCATGGCATTCTAAGATTACCATAAACCATTATTTAATGTAATTATTAACCTTTTTTTCTAATTACTGATGGATTGCAGCTAGGGGCTCCCGAGACCAAAATATTAAAAATCTTTTTTAGTTTTGACTTTATATTTTGTTTTTTTTCATAGCATGTAATTCTTTGGAAACTTAAATCTCCGGGGTATTTTTTTAATCAGTATATTTTATGGTAAAGCTGGGCCCTGAAATATTTATACCTATACTAGGGTTTTAAAGTGTCGAAAAAAAACCGAAAAAATTGGGAAAAAACAAGGCCTTAAAAAATGCCTTTTTTGGGCAAAATTGATTTTTTTTTAATATATACATTTGAAAAAAGTAGCAACCAACAACTAAAAAATAAATCTAAACATTGAATTAAATTAAACTGATTTAAGAAAATGATGATTATATTCAGCGTCGGAAATTCACTTTTTTCTCGATATCAGTGTTATCCGTAGTATGTAAACATATCTGTAAAAAATTGTAAATTTTTAAAAAAATTAAATTTTGCATTTTTTTGTATTACTCTTTGAATAAAATGATAAAAATGCAAGTCAATTTTTCTGAAAATTTCTCAATTTTTGTTTCGGAAAAAAACCGTTTTTTTTCGCCGGCTCAATTTTTCCGGACTACTTAAGATTTGGGGGCCCTCCTGGACCGAGGGCCCAGTTATTAGGTTTTAAAGTAAAGTAAATAGTTTCTGTCCATTTTTCTTACGGGTGAACAAAACAAATTTAAGCAAAAAGAAAAAATACGGGTCTCATGCATCAATTTCGGTAGAAAAACTAAAAAAAAATGTGTTGAAAAATAACAACCTACCCCTTTTTCCCTGATCGATTTGAGATGGAAAGACCCAGATCAGAAAAAATATTTTCTCTACGACTAAGTACTTAAGAATAGTAACATTCTAGTGTAATTTTTGATCATAGAAAGGATGTTTTTCTGCAATACTGTGCGAGAATCTCCTGACGGTTTACAAAACGTAAAAAATTTAAAAATATTTAAATATTACTGTATTATTTATTAATTAAAAAATAATAGCAGTTGTATAATTAAGGTTTAGGCACAAAAAATTAGTTATATTTATTGTTTTTCAAATATACAAATCAAAATTATAATAAATTTGATATTAAAATGATAAACCAGTTACCCACTATACCGGCTTTGAAGTTTTGACAGATTCAAAAAGTTTAAAAAAAGACCTTTAAAATGTAGAAAAAGAATAGATGTTGACATAGATTACTTGAAAAATTAGTTTTGTATTTGTTACAATGTTATTTTTTTTATTAGTTAGTGTAAATAACTATTTTTAATTATAATAAAGATTTAGGCATACCATTTGTTTAAATTTATTATAATTTACATTATAAAATTGTGACGGCACAAAATGGTTTGACAATACAAAAAACTTAAATGTCAAAAACTGCTTGGTTTCTTTTCTCTGTTTAAAATTATATAAGCGTTACTATTCTTACGTAGTCGTAGAGAAAATAATGTCTGAAACACGTTTGGAATAGCATATTCCACTCTCGTAAAACCGTCACACTCGCCTTCGGCTCGTGTGTCAAATTTTTCCTCGAGCGGAATATGCTGTATTCCAAACTTTTTACAGAATGTACTATTCTTGGAAATTGGTGGAGAAAATGACGTCTTATGACATACGTATTCTTTATTCGATTACTTAATAATTACGGTATTGAATTGCAGGTAATTTAGTAGCTGTATATACCCCAAAAACCGATATAACCGCCTGCGAAATCACCTCGAACGGTCAACATATCGTGCTTGCGCTGGAAGGCATCGAGCAGCCAATCACATTGCAGTTACGCGGCCCCCAAGTGGCTCACAATCAAGAAGGCGACGGAGAATCGTACGGAAACGAAGAGAACGCGGGAAAAATCTTCGAGCTAAAAGACGAATGCTGACCGACATAGACTATAAATCATTTAAGTATCCCAGGAATTGTATTATACTCGAATTTTTGTTTGTAAGGGGGACTTCCACTGTCAAAAATATGAAAATAAGAAAAATGGGTCTTTCATACCCAGGGAACAACATAAATTAAAAATATCTCGAATCGATTTCACATTTTCATAATTTTTTAACACCCTTTACATAAAATTACATTTTTTTTTATGTCAATGTTATTTTTTAACGATTTCCTAATTTCTAAAACTTATAACATTTTCAAAATTCACATAAATGTGTGGGAGAATTTTAGAAAGTTCTTTTAGAATTTTAGAAAGTTCTGAGAATTATAAAAAATTCCAAAATACCAACAATGTCCTACATATTTAAAATTTATAAGTTTTTAAATTCTGTAGAATTTTCATTCAAAATTTTTAGTTTTTTGTTAAATTTCCTAAATTTTAACATTTTCAAAATAATAAAATTATAGAAAAATGTAATTTTTTTAAATCTACAAAATTTATAACATTTTTAAAATTCATATAATTTTTAAATGAGTGGGAGAATTGAATTGAATATTGAAAGTTCTGAAAATTATAAAAATTTCCAAAATATTTAAAATTGTAAAATTTTTAGTATTTCAAAATTTTTAAACATTTTTCAAAATTTCCAAAATTAATGACATTTTTAAAATTCAGTAGAATTTTCTTTCAAAATTTTTAGTTTTTTTAATTACCTAAATTTTAACAATTTCAAAATAATAAGATTTTTATAAATTTATAAAATTTATAACAGAGAATTTTAGAAATATTGAAAGTTCTGAAAATTATAAAAATTTCCAAAATACATATTTAAAATTTATTACAGTTTTTAAATTTTGTAGAATTTTCATTCAAAATTTTTAGTTTTTTGTTAAATTTCCTAAATTTTAAAATTTTCAAAATGATAAAATTATAGAATTTTTTTTTTAATTTACAAAATTTAGAACATTTTCTTAATTCATATAATTTTCAAATCAGTGGGAGAATTGAATTGAAAGTTCTGAAAATTATAAAAATTTCCAAAATATTTAAAATTGTAAAAATTTTAGTTTTTCAACATTTTTAAACATTTTTCAAAATTACCAAAATTAATGACATTTTTTAAATTCAGTAGATTTTTCTTTCAAAATTTTTAGTTCCATATAATTTTCAAATGAGTGGGAGAATTTTAGAAATATTGAAAGTTCTGAAAATTATAAAAATTTCCAAAATATTCAAAATTCAACTCTTTACATAAAATTCCAATTTTTTTATGTCAATGTTATTTTTTAACGAAAAAATTAAAATATATATTTTTTTGTAAACTCAACCCTGGGACCTACTGTATACATATTAAATTTTATGCCTATAGGCATGTATACATATATATTTATACAAGTAAAAAGTTTGTTCCTATAAAATAAAAGTCATGGCAATTCATTGTTAATTTTGTAAAATAATGTATATTAAAAATTTTATTGCTCCCTGGGAATTTTAAATAGCAGGAAAAAAAGAATATATTTTTCTTATATCTTGCTTAATTTTAAGATTTTAAAACCCCACTTTATTTGAAAATAAAATATTTTATTTATTTAATTTAACGACGTTTCTTAAATTTTTCGACTTTTCATAAAAATTGGCTTCTATCGGAAGTGAGCACGGCATCCTCCATCGCACACTAGATTGCGACAGATACAGTGCTCTGATTGGTTAATCACATCGGGTAGATTCCGATTACTCTCTAGAAAGCAAAGTGGCCAATTTCAAGAAAACTGTTTTGCATCTAGAATTTTTTATTTATTTAATTCTTAAAAAGTTTTTAATCAGTTTAAAAAAACTTATTTTTGTATATTTAACAGTTAAATGTACCCCTAGTCGCGTATTTGTCAATATTTTAAGACTGCGAACTGTGCTGGTAGCAGTTCAGGTTTAAATAAAGCATTTAAGTAAAATATTTATTATTTAGGAGGATAATGTTAGGTGTTTTAGATCGACTTTGGTTCCTATAATAAAGTTAAGATTAAAATTATTAGGTGAGATTTATATACAGGGTGTTCCAGCACAATACATTGTTATTGTTTTTTAAGATTTTCTTAATCATTTAATGTCACCAAAGGAGCAATATTTGGTACATAGATACATAGGTATATTTACATTCACTGCTAAGGTTTGCCTACTAAATTCTGGGACACCTTGTATATTTTTAAGCAATTGTATTTTTTTTTAAATTACATACCTACTCATTTCGCAATAAAAGTAGGTATAGGTAGGTATCTACCTAAAGGTATATCGGGAATGTTTAAAAAAACACAACATATTTATTATTATATATAAGTGTGAATATTTTATATACCTACTGCTTTGGATTTATTTTTTTTATTATAATTAATCCATTGTAAGTACAATTAGATATGAACTAGTCCTTTAAATATTTTAGATGGCAAATCCTGGAGGATATTATTCCAATTTTGTTGAAAAATTAATAAATATTTTCCAAAGTAAAATATTGACAAATAAGCAATAAATGCAAGTGTTATAGTGTAATTAAAAACCCTATTGTTAAAAAAATAAATTCCCATCTGGTATGTGGAACAATATTAATTGAGACATTATATTTGTATGTTGTGATTCTTGTGTATAAATAAATGTAATAAATATTATTTCAAAGCGGGTGTTTTAATTCAATTGGAATATACGAATTTGATCCATCTTTAGGGAAAAATTGTTGAAATGTAATTTAATTTAATACAATTTTTGTACATTTGGCAATTTGCAATTTCTTTGGTAGGTACTCATGTGAAGTTAGTTACATTCACGATATACAAAAACCTGAAAAATATTTTTTATCTATTTTGCGTTCATAATGACTATTATAACACCGCTTTCGGTACTTTATCCCACCCAAAATTTTGATTTTATAGGTTGGCTATACTTTAAACAGCATAATATTTTGCATATTGGTTATAATATTTTTATGATTTTTCCAGTACTTACGAAACTTTTCTGGCAATAAATTTTGTTCAACACCAAAGAAAATCCTTTTTTTCTTCTTTAACATTAACAGCCGCTTATTGTAAATAAGTAAATTAAGGACGGCATGACGAATCGATTTTGACATTAACTGTCAAACCAATGACTGTGATACCAACTATCTAAAGTAAAATTCGACCAAATTAAATTTAAGGTATATAATTAATTTTTTATAGAATTTTTGCAAAATAGATAAAATAGCATAAGGAACTCATGTCATAAGACCTTTTGTCGCACTCGTCCATTAAATTGTCCGCATACGACAAAATGACGTCTTATGACATTAGTTCTTTAATATAGGGGCATTCCACGTTACTCGGTAATTTTTGTCCCGCCCGTCACAATTAAAAATTGTGAGTAAAAACCACAAGTTATAAAATTAATATTTTATAATATTATTTTTATTGTGCTTATAACTTATTAAAAGCATAATAAAACAATATTTTTAAATAAATTTTATAACGTGTAGTTTTTACTCACAATTTTTAATTGTGACGGGCGGGACAAAAATCCCCGAGTAACGTGGAATGACCCTATACTATTATTTAATTGAATTAAACTTCCGCTAGACCGAATTTTACATTTTTTCAATGTGAAAGGTAACAAAATTATAAAAATGCATTTATGGTATAAATTTTATACAGGTAATAATAACGCACGCCCGCTTTAAAGTGTCAAAAGCAAAAAAAAATCTCAAAACTGCTTATTGTACCTGTCACTTTTGAAGCGGGTTTCCGATAAAATGGTGTTTTAATTTTTATTATTTAAAAAAATTTAATTTTAATTATAACTACCTACAATAATATTTTATATATTTATTATTAAAATTGCTACTCAACCTCACAATCCACTTGCCCATAATCCAATGAATCACTACGCCTATGGAAACAGTGCCACCAACATAAAATTGGGCGTATACCGGCTGTCAAATTAACCTAAAAATTCAACCGAAATGTTTTGAAGAAAGTAAACAAAACTAAATTTATGAAATGTCGGAAACAATGAAGCAAGACCCGTTAAAACTTTTGACGATGTGCCTGCTGGCAACTGGAGTTCGATATTGGTTAATTTCCTCGAAATACCAGCAAATCATCGCGAATCATATCGAAGTATCTACACCTTTAAATTCATGGAAAAGGGTGCTGGAAGGTTTGTTTTTAACTTCAAGAAACATAAGCCCATACAATGGAGATTTATTCCACGAAAATCCACTGCTATTGCAATTCTACAAGCACATGTTGAATATATTTATGCATAAAACCGAGATTATGTTTATAACATTGGATGTGCTAACTGGAATAATACTGTATTTTACAACAAAGAAGTATATTCGGACGATGTTCATAATGGAGGAAATAATGAAGAACACCTTTGCAGCCGACTCAAGAGAATATTTAATATCAAAAAGTGATTTAGTCAAGGCTCCGAAGTTTGTTTTACTGGCGTTTCTATTCAATCCATTCACTATTTTAAATTGCATTGGGTGTTCTACTGCTGTAGTGTTTTACTTCTTTTTGTCGTTGTTTTTATGTGCCATGGTCCACGGGAATATTGTTTTGAGTGCTGTCTTATTATCACTTTGTACTTCAATGTCCTTTTATCCATATGTATTGGTTATTCCCTTGGCATTATATTTTGTTAATATTTACCACAGCAAAATTAAGTCTGCCTGTGCAGTTATTTTGTTTTTTACGAGTTTGTTTGCCATACATACTTATTGTAATAGGTTTGATCCAAAATACTTCAAAAGTGTGTATGGGTTTATATTATCTGTGCCCGATTTGCAGCCCAACATTGGTTTATTCTGGTACTTTTTTACAGAAATGTTTGACCATTTTAGAGAGCTTTTTATCTATTCCTTTCAAATTAACGCCACAATTCTTTATTTAGTACCACTTTCAATCAAATTCCGAAAACAGCCCTACTTATTATCCTTTGCATTATTATTTTTAATAACCGTTTTTAAATCATACCCCTCTATAGGTGACGTAGGTTTCGTTCTCAGTTTACTCCCATGTTTCATATACTTATTCAGCTTTTGCCAACAAGGTTTTCTCGTCAGTGTAATTTACCTAATTACAGCTTCGTTAGCCCCAATTCTATGGTATCTATGGATTTATTGCAACTCGGCAAATGCCAACTTTTATTTTGGTGTAACTCTGGCATTCGCAATAGCTCAAATATTTTTAATAACCGACGTTTTATTCGCTCAAGTTAAAAGAGAATTTTGTTTGAAAAATGGCAAAGAAAGGCAAATAAACTCGCAAGAAGCTACTTTAACATTAGAATAAGTTGTTTGTAATATTTGTAATAAATTTTTAATTATAAATACCTGCATTTTTATTATTTTTAATTATATATTTATTTTTTATTATATTTAGTTTAAACAATAATTATTGTATATTAAATTTTTTATTGTATTTAGTTTAAACAATAATTATTGTATATTAAATTTTCAAAACTGTATACGGGTTGCCTAAACATAAATAAACTATTTAGAGTTGGCAACACTGAATTCCAGTCCCTTTCGGTTTTGAATGTTGGTGAATCCTGTAACAGGTTACCTGTCATAAATTGAGGTTATAAAGGCCAGAAAAGAGCTTTGTGTTTGTTTGGTGTTTGTGTTCGTTGAAGATGTTTCATAACTCCTAGTTTTATTAAATTTATTTATTATTTTATTTAAAAGTGTATATTTTATTAATTGATAATATATTTAAGACTGTTTAAAAATGTCCTCAAACAAAAATAATGCGAGAAATTCCAGGTTTGTTGAAATGTTAATATTTAAAAATATTTATGTATGTGGCTTAAGACATTTTTTGTTATTGTTGGTACAAAATATTACGTAATGGTGATTTTAAATATTATTATCTATTATTTGTTGTACTTTGTTAGAAAAAAGAAGTCAACGTTGTTGTCTCAACCAGAAGTGCAAAGGGAGTTTACAGTGATTCGAGTGGCTATAAGAAGACCGGATATTGTGGCAACAGGGCCACAGAGACCTATTCAAAGAGGAATCGATGATCCAAATAAAATATACATTCCAAGATCAGGTATAATAGATTGTGTTAAATTCAAATTTGTGATTTTATAGTTACAGAGTATGAATTTGTTTTCAGATTTATATTTTTCTATAAAATGGTACTTAAATATTAAAACTTTCCAAGTCCAATAAGCAAAATACTTTTACTATTCTCATAAATGTATTATTTGATTCACATGTAAAAAATTGTCTCAATGATTAATTATTTTATTCAAGAGGTAGGTAAAAGGTATTTTTGCTTTTAATAGTAAATAAGTAATTTTTAATCTATTGCTATAATGCATTGAAAATTCATAAACTTCTACCTGAAATATTTTCCCACCCAAACATTGAACAAAGAAGGTAAAACAAAGGTAAATTGGGTTGAATTGTAATCTATAAAAGAAATGGCATTTTATTAGGAGATTAAATTAATAAAATCAAATCAACTTTTTAAATATTTAAAAATGCACATTTCTTTTTTGATTAGGTATTTATTATTATTATATATTTTTTTCATCACAATGTAACATAAAAAAACAGCTACAAAGAAATCATATGGAAGAACAACAGAAGATTAGGAGAAGATGAAAAATTAAAACTAAAACAAATATTTTTTCAATAAACTTTAAGTATTAATTTTTCAATTTAGTCTACTCACATTGCATTTTCATTTCAAATTTTTAAAAACCAGCTACAAAGAAATCATGGAAGAACAACAGAAGATTTGGAGAAGATGATAAATTAAAACTGAAACAAATACTTTTTTAATAAACTTAAGTATTAATATTTCAATTTAGTCTACTCATAATGCATTTTCATTTCAAATTTTAAAATATACATACCTATTCCAGACATTATGTATAAACTATTTTACGTAAATTGGTAAATTTTAAAATAATAAACTATTAAGAAAGAAAAAGGAAGATGACAATGAAGATTAAAACCCAGTTCCAGAAGTTCTAAGAAGATGAAGACAATAAAAATAACATAAACTCAAAACTCTATGCAATTGTAATTTAAAATTTATTTTAAATAAAAGTGTAATTTTTTATTTAAAAATAATTTTTAAATTACAATTCCAATGTTTCAGTTTGTTATTATTAAAAATTAAACATAACACCTTTATTTTATTTTAGAATAACTTTTATTTCAGCTTTAAGAAAATGAATATTTGTATCAAGAAGAAAGAAGATTTTTAAAGAAGAAAAAAGTTCTTGCATGAATTACAAATCAAGTTTAAATTGTTTTTTAAGTCAAGTTAAAATTATTTTAAAACTTAATGCATGTTAAAAATAAGCAAAATAATGTTTCACAAATGTTTTAAACAATTTAAGAACATTAATTTTAAAAGAAAAATTCTTGCATGAATTATTCAAAATCAATTATGTAGTTAAAAAAATTAAATGAAATGCATGATAAAAATTATTTCTTTAAAACTTTTAATTTGGTAAAATTAAATGTTTCACAAATATAAAAGAATTCGTGAAGAAAATTGTTTGAAGAATAGGCACACAACAGTATTCTTGAAATTGCATCATGAAGAATGAAGAAAAGTATAAAGAACATAAATAAAAAGAAAATACCAGAAAACACAGAAGAAAATGTTTTTGTAAGTAAGATCCAAGGTACATATAAAAGTCATATTTTGAGCTGGTAATGTTTTTTCTTTTGTTTTTAAAGGCTTACAATCAAATATGAAGTTTAACAGAAGGCTAAGAAGAAAATACCAAAAAAGAAGAATTATTACAAGAAAAATTATGGTAAAGAAATATGAAAATTACCAGAAAATAACGAAAAAATGTTTTAAAACCATGATAACTGAGTTTGTGTAAGTATTAAATTATTATTTATAGTTGCTTCATAGTTTTGTTTTATAGTAAATTAATTTATTAGTAATTATTTTGATTTTATAATAAACATTGGTTATTTAATGCCTAATAGTCGAATTTTGACTAGTTAAAAATTAAAATTAGTGAAAAATACCTATAGGTGAAGAAGACCATGAAGAAGGACATTTTACCGGTTTTTATTTTTACTTTAAATAAGTTTTTAATTTCTTAAATTTCTTTTGATGCAATTTTTAAAACTTTAATTATTATTACAATAAATCGGTTTTTAATTTATTCAATTTCATCAATGTGTTTTATTTTTTATGTGATTCTTAATTTGTAAAAAAATAATGAAATATAGACAATATTATCGAAAAATCCATGAAGGCCAAAAAAGAAGATCCAAGGGATTTTGTGAGGGTTATATTTTAATTTTCATTAAGTACTTGAATGGAAAATCACGTGGTCATATTAAATTTGTAAAGTAATTTTCGTCTTGCACAGTGCTACCCTTAAATTTATTTTTAAAAATTGATTAAAATAATTAAAAAGTCATAAATAAAAAATAACAAAAACTCGTCAATTACAAGAAGAAGAATGAAGAGGACCATCCACATCAAATCATCGCACTAACTTAATAATAATCTCTTAAATAAATATTTTTAGCAATTAACCACCAGGGTCATTCCATCGTTTTGGGTGTTACATTTGTTCAACCAAAGTCTAAATTTTATGTATTTTGAAATGACATTTTAGCAATGAAAGTGCCTTATTCTCTACGTTTTTAGTTGTTTTATCTAAATTGTAAAATAAGTACAGTCAATCATATAAAATAACGATTTTATAAGTCGAAAAGTTTGCGTTTCACGGTCCTGACTATTGTTACATTTATTTAAAATTCAGCGAATTTTCTTAGGGAAACATTTCTAAAAATTACAGGCCTTCAAAAGTATAATATTTACAACCATCTACCACGTAATCACTGTCACAAATAACGTTTTCCTATTTTTTTTTATAAAATTTTACTTTGTTTCTGGTGTTACCATGGTTCTGTTTTGGGTGTTACAAGTACAAAAATTAAACATTAACATTAAACATAACTTAAGCAGCTTCGGGTGCGATTGATAAATCGGCAAAAAGGGTAAAATCGTTATTATTGCCAAAAATCGGTAAAAAAAAACAGGGAGAAACATAATTATTGACGACTATTTCCCTCGTCTTAATTTCCACCAATCACAAACGCGCAATTTTGAATTACAAATGGTTTCTAGGTGAAAAAACTGTGTGACAGCACCTGTCAGCAGTTTATTCGAGTTTACCCGCGGCAAAACTTGACAGCTGTTGTCACCAACAATTGCAATTTATATTTTAATTGTTAACTGTTACTCATGAAATAGTCTTGTCAAATACCATTCGGGCATCTAATTTTTCCTGTGAAAAAAATGGAAAAAACACAATGCTAAGTAATATTTTTTAACAAAATGCATTCGTGCAGGTGCAAAAATCCTCCTCTTCGACTCGGATTTTTGTTGCCACCAGCACTCATGCTTTTTGTTAAAATATTACTTAGCAACGTGTTTTTTCGATTCTTTTCGGAAAAATTAAATGCCCTTATGATATTACTTACGAAAATCTTAGTATTCGGTATTTTGGTAGGTCCGTTGTCATTTCGGTAGATTCGAAACCATCTTTAAAAGAGGTGTGACTGCTTTCCGATGGCGGCGCTAGTGAGAAGTCGAAAGAGCTTTAAAAATATACTTCTTGCATTCTTTAAACAATAAACACACATACACAGGGTGAGTTTTAAGTTGACGCGTTCCTTTTAACAGCGTGTAGAAATCAGATAAACAAATAAATATTTTAAGTAACTTTTTTATCAAAACTCAAAAATAAGATAGTTATACTGCCCTGTTAAGGATAGAGGTCGTATCTACAATATTTTGTAGTAAAGTACAGAAAAAAATTTTAATTTTTAAAAACAAAGAATAAAGTTTTTTCTTTACTACCACAAACTGCCGTTTCAAGACAAAACTTCATATCTGCAATATTTAGTAGTTAAGCAAAAAAAGCCATTTTTTATCGTTTTTTAAAATTAAAATTTTCTTCTGTCCTTTACTACAAAATATTGTAGATACGACCTCTATCCTTAACAGGGCAGTATAGGCCTTCCAAGTTTAATTAAATTTTGAGCCGGTCCTGGCTATTGTTAACAAAAAACATAACCATAAAAATAAAAAAATAAAAAATGCAAAATGTCATCTATGACAACAAACATAACCATTTAAATCAAAATGACATTTAGCAATGAAAAATGTCAGTTTTTTTGTGGCTCAATTCAAAGATAATACACCCCATGTATTATCTTTGGCTCAATTATTGTTAAAAAATGGTTCATATAATTATATCAATAATGAATTAGTGGAAATGTTACTAATTTATGGAGAGTGTCGTCAAAATGCAAATGCTGCAACTTAAGTAAATAATGACATTTTTTATTGCAAAATGTCAATTTGATTTAAATGGTTATGTTTGTTGTCAAATATGACATTTTGCATTGTTTATTTTGATATTTTTATGGTTATGTTTTTCGTTAACAATAGCCAGGACCGGCTTAAAATTTAATTAAACTTTGATGGGCTATAACTTTTTTATTTTTGAGTTTTGATAAAAAAGTTACTTAAAATATTTATTTGTCTAGCTGATTTCTACACACTGTTAAAAGGAACGCGTCAACTTAAAACTCACTCACACATATGGAAAAAGTTGTAACACCCGAAACGTTTCGGGCGTTACAGTTTTTAATCAAGAAAAACACATATTAAATTAGTTTCATGCTCAGATATTAGTTTTCTAAATCATTACCACCATAACGTTACTTTTACTAAATATAATTACAACAATCAATCAGATTCTGTAAGGTATAATAATTAAACAATTACATGATTTTTCGTTTCGGGTGTTACGATGGCAAAGTAACAACAAAACACACTTATAACGTGATAATTATCAATTTTTTCGGGACTGACGCAATCCACCAATACTACGATTAATAACCTCAAATCACAACGGGGAAAAACGGTTGACAGATTGACAGTTTTTTTTTAGTATTTCCAATAGTTAAAGCACAATGGTCATTCAGCCAGTTCAATTGAGTGCAGATTTTGGAGACTAATTAATTAAAATACGCGTTTTTTCTAGTTTTTTTGTCGCACATTATAATTTGGAATGTTTTCTTTCAAAATTCAATTCACCCTCGGTATCGTTTGTCATGGAATGACCCACCAGTTAAAAGTAGTCATATTCATAGATTCAATTAATGTCGGCATCCGTAACATCAAGGCAATTTACAGGTGACAGCAAAATACCTATATTTGACAGAGACGATGTTCTCTGCAATGAGGTCAACTACAACGAGGAAGAAAAACTTTCTATCGATCGCAATGAAACCACGCGAACGGTGTACAAAAGTCCGAACCGAGGAAAGTCGAAAACCCCTTCCAACTCTTATCGCAGGAGTCGCAGCTACTCGCCCAATAGCGACTCGGAAAGGAGGAGGGAGAAACAAAAGAGGGGCAGGTCGAGTAGGTCCGGGTCCGGCGACCGCTACGGCAAGAGGAGGTCTAGATCTCGAGATTACTCCCCCAAGAAGGATTATGCGAAAAGACGATCGCGATCGAGGGAGTATTCGCCCCCGCGTAAACCTGGGGAGTACAGACCTAGGAAAACCGAGGGGAGGAGGCGGTCGAGGGAGGTTTCTCCCCCGCTAAGACCGGGAGAATACAGGCCGAAAAAATCGGGTGTTGCGCGTAGATCGAGATCTAGAAGTCCAGAGTTTTCAGATAAACACAGGTAAATATCTATTTTGGATTAGTTTTTGAGGTTTTTTGGTTTGAATTCAAATATACACTTTTATGTCTAGAAAAAAACATTTTTCTGACAAACTTCTGGACATTACCTGACAATTCCAGATATTTAAAGTTTCTTGAAGCGTTTCCAAAAAATTGACAATCCAGAAGTCCATTTGTTTTTTTAACGTAGCTTTACAATTTGGGTCATATCTCGAGTTAGAAACGGCTAATCTGGTTGTAAAAGGTGTCAAATTAAACATAATCGAATCGCCCAAAACTATCACTCTCTTAATGCCCAATCAGTTGACTAGTTTAAGTGCAATGGACAAAAATAAAAAACATTTACCTTTTGTCCAAGAATTAAAAAAAACCTTGAAATATTGCCATACTCGAATTATCTACATAGAGTTTGCACTTTTACGAAGAAAATACGGTAATTACGAAAAAAAATCTATGGATAAATGACAACGTTATGACAGTTCACACCACGTGACATTGATAAAAATAATTAAGGTTAATTTTCTGTCAGTTTTTTGTGTCTAAAGGTTTTAATTTAGAACACAAAACATACATAATATATATATTATAATATAATTTTTAGAAAATAAGACAAAATAAGCTGAAGCATTGAAAGAAAATTAACCTTAATTATTTATATCAGTCACGTGGTGGGACTTTGATGTGTGGAGCCTAGTACAAGAAGCAAAAGTCCAAAAAAAACAAAAAGTTAAATTTTGCTACTTGTACATAAACGGTAATAGCTTTGGTTCTTATCCATTGATTTTTTTTCGTCAATACCTTGTTTTTTGCAAAAGTGATCACTCACAAGGTATTTTTGTCCAAAATCAAATGAAAAAAGAATGTTGACTATTTTCGTTTACTCAGTTATCATTTGTCTAGACGTAGTAGATCTCTATCGCCGAAAGCATCAACCTCAAAAAGATACAGTAGATCGCCGAAAAGAGATGTAAGAAAATCCCGCTCTCCTGGAAAATATGGAAAGTCGTTTAGGCATGACGATAGAAAAAGAAGCAGATCGCCTAGATACGATAGCGGGCACAGGAGTAAGGAGAGGAGGTCGTCTAGATCACCGCACAGAAAAAGGTAAAAAAATTAGTCTTATCTCCTTATTACAGCAATGCTCGTTTTTAAATAGACACCCGTATATCGACCACTTTTGGACCCGATTTTACAGAATTTTTTAAAACTTTTTTGGAAACCAAAAACAATTTACGAGTTTTTTTTTAAATAGCTACCTATAACTTCTTTAAAAATTGAGGAAATTGGAAGTTTTATTAATGTTTTGTTTTTTTTGGTTTTTTTAAAAATAATCAGTTGGCCAAGAATTTTGAAATTTGGTATAGGGGCCTAAATGTTAATTCTAAACAACTTTTTTAATAATATTTTGTCGTATATCCCATATGAAACGCACTTTACCAACACAAAAAATACTTTTTTTACTTGATTTTTAAACATTGAAATTATGTTACAAATTAATCTTTTATCAAGCAGGGCTGAACCCCTGAAAATGGATTTTTACCTATCCGGGGGCATAAATTTAGGAAAAGATTGAGAAATTCAAAATAAGACGAAAACGTAAATAAATATTTTTTCTAATTACTTTTGTTTCCAAGATACAGGCTGATAAAGTGTTACTTATCATATCAGTTTTCTAATATAACTTCTAGTATCATACTATCATACCATAATGGTACACTTGAAAAGGTGATATTTTAAGAACATCCGCTCACTGCCAATACACATATTCATTAGGGTGCACCCGGGTGGTGCGAAATATGAATATTTTTAAAATCGAGAACGCCTGTATATAGAATAGTTGGAAGTGGAAGTTCTTAAAATATCACCTTTCCAAGTCTACTTTAGTAGAAGTAATTAGGAAAAATATTCATTTAGGTTTTCGTCTTATTTTGACTTGGTCAATCTTTTCCTAAATTTATGACACTAAGTTTAGTGACACCTTGTATAGTATCACTTTTTAGTTCTCCTGATTACAAACATCGGAGAGACAGCAGCAGGTCGCCGCCAAAATACGACAGAAAAAGGTCGTTCGACAGGCGCAGAACGCGATCCCCGCACCCCCCAATCGTCACTTTCGATAGACCTTCAACAAGTAGAAGGAGCAGATCTCCGAGAAGTTACTCCAAATCGAGGAGAAGTAGAGACAGATCGCCCCCGAAAATCCCACCGCAATTTCCCTACTACGAGGTAAGTTCCATCTTTGGAACACTGAACCAGAGTTGCAAATAATGCATTATTTTTTTAATGCATCATTAAATTAATAAGTAATGTGTTTTATTTTTATTATGCATTACTTCTTTTTTAATGAAAATTCTCATTACGTTTTTTCCAATGAGTAATGTATTCTTTTTTACATTACTCATTTTTAATTTGTAATGAGTATTTTGAAACTTTCAATTACAATTTTTTATGTTTGTGAGTAATGTCAATTTTTGTTTTGAATTGCTTTTTTACCAGTAACAGACGTAAAAATTCTTGAGCGGGTAGAAGTTTAACGTAAAAAATTTGCAAGGAAATCAAAGAATGAAAATTAAAATTTTAAAACTCAAAATTTGATACAGGAAAATTTTAAGAAATAAAAATGTCAATTCGGACCATTATTAAAGAAATTGGCAGCAAAAAAACAAAAAACGCGATTGTTTTGAAAATTTGATATCTTTTGAACGAGTAATCAAAAAAATATCAAATTTTACAAATTTTTAATGGGCAGGTACTTAAAAAAAAAGAAATCAAAAGAAATCAAAAATTAACATTTTTTAAACTGTTAGACTTGGTGTAAAATCTCCCATATAAAAAATCACCCAGTCAATACTACCTTGATCATTTTTCACTGATGTAATGGGTATTACCCATTAAATGTCTTTCATTACTTATTTTTTAATGAGCAATGTATTGTTCGACTCATTAATTTTTTAATGTGTAATGAAAATATATATATATATATAGTATATACTGCGCGTCAAAAAGTAAAAAAACTCTAAAACGCATTTACCAATCTTTATAAAATTTTGGATAATACATTATATATATATATATCTTAGTTTACGTGTTCAAGGGTTTTTCGAGAAAATATCCTTAAAGCCTTTTATTTAATAATGAAAAACGCTCGAAAAAAACTTTTATAGGGAATTTTTTTTAAGTAAATAAAAAATGTGCTGTAAAAGACCGTATTTTTGTTGGTATACCCTAAAAATGTTGTACAAATTAAACGAACAGTAACGAAAACACATCTCTTCAAAGTCGTCAAAAATGACCACTAGGGTGATTCATTTCCGCAAAGTTTTTGTTTTTTTCGGTGCTCAAGCAAAATATTAATCTACCTATAGAAAAAAAAAAAATTTCACCAAGGTAGAGCTCTTAAGGTAGTTGTCGTGCTATAAGCATACCATCAGAAAATTTTGAATTTTTGTATACTTATTAAGGACATGACAATACATATATCCTTAAAATTTGAAGTCGATTGACCGTCAATAACCCGAGATAAATTCAATTAAAAATTGGATAATTAACATGGATTGTATAGGCTTTCTGTAGTTCTGTACCAGTTTCTTAGTTATACAGAAAAAACTAACTGTCAGAAGCTTTAAAAAAACTAACATTGTTTTAATGTATTTTTGCTGAGTTTAAAAAAAAATAATTAAAAATTTTTGACCGTCCAATTGTTTATAAATAACCGTTTAAAGTTCAACAATTTGTAAAAAGTATACATCACTAGTGTCAGATAAAAACAACTTGGCAAGGCTGTACGCGAGTATAGATATAATTTCCGCAGTAAATTCAAACGTCTGATTCAGTCTCCAATATATCTATTGGTTGAGCATAAGCGACGTTGCCGGATTAAAACTTATGAAAATATTTGAAAGTATTACGTAAAAATAACGTCTCCAGGGTACAGTCTTGCGAACAAATTATGAATCACTTAGCTACCAGCTCGTATACTTTTACGGTGCGTATAATCTAAAAATTTTTGACAATATTGTACCACGACAACTACCTTAATATCAATTTTAAGTACTTGCAGTTTAAATTTAAAGTTTTCCCATTTAAAATGCATGTAAAAAAAATGGTTTTTTTTTCAAATTTCTAATGCTTACCCACCTTTGACAATATTGCAAATCGGTTTAATACACCTTATGGGGAATTTCACGCTCTTTAAAATTGCTTTTGAGTTTTTTTTTGTAACTCGCATTGGTTCACCAGTAGGAGTCGTCAAAGGACAGTTTTTGAAAAAAATCGTTTGTTTTTATTTTTTCGAGCAAATTGCCAAAAGTAGTGAGAAAAAAGGGCTGATTCATAAAAAAAAAGTTATCCAACCAATATTTAATGAATTTACTGCCATTTTTATAACTGAAAACGTAAGAAATTGATAAATACCAACCCATAATGTTATTTAGATTGATTTTTTCTATTTATTATCATTATATTTCCCTACACTAAGAACTTTTTTAAAATTATTATGATTTCTCACTCATAATGAATATGAAAACAACACATAAATTCATAAAAAAAAGAACAAAACTTTAATCGGAATATACAGAAGGTTATGTAACATATTTCAAATTTCGCTTCAAAAAATTAAATAATCTTCATTTATGCTATTTTTTTATGACTTTATCTGTTGTTTTCATATTCATTATAAGTGAGAAATTAATAATTTTAAAAAACTTCTTAGTGCAGGGAAATATAATGATAATAAATAGAAAAAATCAATCTAAATAACATTATGAGTTGGTAATTATCAATTTCTTACGTTTTCAGTTATAAAAATGGCTGTAAATTCATTAAATATTGGTTGGATAACTTTTTTTTATGATTCAGCCCTTTTTTCTCCCTACTTTTTGCGGTTTGTTAGAAAAAAATAAAAAAAACGATTTTTTCAAAAACTGTCCTTTGACGACTCCTACTGGTGAACCAATGCGAGTTACAAAAAAAAACTCAAAAGCAATTTTAAAGAGCGTGAAATTCCCCATAAGGTGTATTAAACCGATTTGCAATATTGTCAAAGGTGGGTAAGCATTAGAAATTTGAAAAAAAAAACATTTTTTTACATGCTTTTTAAATGGGAAAACTTTAAATTTAAACTGCAAGTACTTAAAATTGATATTAAGAGCTCAAACTTGTTGAGAATTTTTTTTTCTATATGCAGATTAATATTTTGCTTGAGCACCGAAGAAAACAAAAATTTTGCGGAAATGAATCACCCTAATGACCACTTTTCAGCAAAATAATCAAAAAGGGGCCATTGTTACCGACTTTGAAGCGCTGTATCTTCGTTACTGTTCGTTTGATTTGTACAAAATTTTTAGGGTATACTAACAAAAATACGGTCTTTAACAGCATATTTTTTATTTACTTAAAAAAAATTCTTTAAAGTTATTTTTCGAACGTTTTTTTATTATTAAATAAAATGGCTTTAAAAATGTTTTCTCGAAAAACTGTAACACGTAAACTGAGACATAAGTTGAAGTATTTTTATACAAAATTTTATAAAGATCGGTAAAGACGTTTTAGAGTTTCAATTTTTTTGATGATTAATGTATTCAAACTACATTACAATTTTAAAAAAATGACGACTCTGAACCAAACGTTTAACGCGTTCAATTTTGCTGCAGGCTCCGGAATTCTGGATTCCCCCCATAATGCCTTTCAGGCCCGCGCTGTACCCCGCCCCGTTCCCCCACGCAATGCCCGGGCCCAGGCTTATGTACCCCAGGGGCATCGACATGATGTACCCGTACCCCAGACCCCGATTCCCGGTCTACAACAGCCCGAAGACGATAGTTAAAAAGTCCGTGGCGGAAATATCGTCCACATCCGCAAACTCCGCAGAACAAAACGCAGTGGGGGAAAACAGCGAGGCTGTACAGTCGACGTCGCAAGAAAATGAGGAAAATAAAACTAATACTGCTGATACCACTCCTGCAGATAAAAAAGAAGATTGATGCATTTTTACCTACTATATTAAGTGTGATTTTAACTATTAAGTGATTATACAACTTTTAAGCTAAATAAAAGGTTTTAAAATAAAACAAGTCTTTTTTATATTACAAAAAATATAATAACAATAATATATTCAGTCCTTCCTTCTCAATATCATTTGAAATTGGTCCTTAAGTCCACTCTCTTCAATTAGAGGGTGATAATTGTTTAATATTTTTTCACAATACTAAAAAATAATAAAATTAAAACCTAAACTCAAAATTACCCTGACTAATTTTTAATTTTTGAATCTTTGTAAATTAAAAAAACACCTATAGGTAGAGTTGTCAGGTTTTACAAAAATTAGTTTAATAAACTATTACCAGGTTCCACACCTCCTAAAACTCATAAAATTCCTAAAATTTAGATTAAATCTTGAAAACTCCCAAAAAAGGCCTTCAATCTTCTAAAACTAAATATAAATAGGCCAACCTGCGTTTAATTAAGGTACTTCTTTTTTTAAAAGTAATTCAAAAAAATATATTTTTGGTTTATTAAATTCTTTTTAAAATAAAAACCTACATTTTTCTTTAAAAACAACAAAATATACCTAAAAAACGTAATGCGTGTATAGCTCCTAGACTTCTACAAAATTTTTCGACAAAAATTTACCGTATATCAAACAAAAGGATTTTTAATTTTCTTTTAAATGATAGCCAAAATAGTAAACAATCTAAAGAAAGTTTTGCTGTATTTTGCAAATTCATATTTTTTCTATCATGAAATTTTGAGTATCAAGATCCACATTACAATTATTTTTAATTACACAGCCACACAATTTTTTTTTTTTGTTTTGATCTGGGGGTCTGACCATATTTCTTTTATGTTTTTGGGGTCGCTGAATCCGAATCCAAGGTCTATTTATCCCCATCACATCAGGATTTTGACATAACCTCAAAAAATCTATAATTTAAGCTATTAAACGCATATAACCCTAAACATTAAGTTGTTATCTAAAAACTCAAGCTCCTAAACCCTATAAGCCTAAAACTCACTTAACTCCATAACCCCATGACCCACTTAACCCCATCATCTATTTAAACATATAATCCTTAGGATGAAATTGTGATCTGAAAACCCAAGCTATTAAACCCAATAACCATTTTAACCCCATCCCATAAACCACTTAAACCCATAACCTTGTAACCCATTTAACCCCATCAACATCAATTCCAACAGTTCCGTATCTCAGACATTAACGTACATATTAAGTTAAATATCTGACAAACGTGGTTAATGTACATTCAGTTATGAGGTTAAATGGGTTATGGGGTTATGGAGTTATGTGAGTTATGAAGTTGTGATATTTAAGAGCTTGGATTGTTATATGAAAACCACATTCTCAGGGTTATATATAGTAATAGCTTATATGATGGGTTTTTTAAGGTTATGGCAAAATCCTGATGTGATGGGGTTAAATAGACCTCGGATTCGGATTCAGCGACCCCAAAAATATATAGAAAATTTGGTCAGGCTCCTAGATCAAAACACAATTTTTTTTTTGTGTTTTGATCTGAGGGTCTGACCATATTCCTTTTATGTTTTTGGGGTCGCTGAATCCGAATCCAAGGTCTATTTAATCCCATCACATCAGGATTTTGACATAACCTCAAAAAATCTATAATTTAAGCTATTAAACGCATATAACCCTAAATATTAAGTTGTTGTATAAAAACCCAAGCTCCTCAACACTATAAGCCTAAAACTCACTTAACCCCATAACCCCATGACCCACTTAACCCCATCATCTATTTAAACATATAATCCTTAGGATGAAATTGTGATCTGAAAACCCAAGCTATTAAACCCAATAACCATTTTAACCCCATCCCATAAACCACTTAATCCCATAACCTTGTAACCCATTTAACCCCATCAACATCAATTCCAACAGTTACGTATGTCAGACATTTAGCTTTGAAGAGACTAAAGTTATGCGGTTATTAAAATAACGTACATATTAAGTTAAATCTCTGACAAACGTGGTTGATGTACATTGAGTTATGAGGTTAAATGGGTTATGGGGTTATGGAGTTATGTGAGTTATAAAGTTGTGATATTTAAGAGCTTAGATTTTTATATTAAAATCACATTCTCAGGGTTATATATAGTAATAGCTTATATGATGGGTTTTTTAAGGTTATGGCAAAATCCTGATGTGATGGGGTTAAATAGACCTCGGATTCGGATTCAGCGACCCCAAAAATATATAGAAAAAATGGTCAGGCCCCCAGATCAGAACACAAATTTTTTTTTGTGTGGCTGTGTTATTAACTAAATAGTTTTTTTCTTAAATATAAATATAACATAATTTGACTTTGGCCTAGTTTTTTAGCTAAATCTATCGACGCTTTTATTTAAACAAAATTTACCTCACTTTAAATTTTATTTAAAAAAACTCGTCGAGCAAATATTTGTATAAAGCGACATCTACGAAATACGAAAATAAAGTAACCATCCCAATAAACATTTTTGGCGTAATTTTCACCATTAACATTATCCGTTATTATTTTAATTATACTTAACAATTATAATTATTGATACTTTCAATATTAAAATAACTAAAATATGATTATTTTAAGAAAATATTATATTCTTTGATTTTTTTTATTACTATATTTGCAAAATATTATCACAAAGTATTAAAAATGCTGAAATATTATTTACTTTTATGTTGTTTTTACTATAGTTTTTAATACTTAAATACAATTTAAAGTATTTATTTTTTTATTAAAATACGTTTTATTTTTCCTACATTGGTACCGCTGAATATTCTGTCACGGCCTTCTGTTATTTATTTATCAAAATCACCAAGACTCAGGGCTGGATGCTCCCGTGGACGAGTTTTGGTTCGTGCCGCGCACGAATTATATTAAAATTATCAAAGAAAATAGAGAAATATCTAGACATAGTGCGTTTTTATTAAACCTAATATTGAAGAAAGTGTTAAGCTATAGCTATAACTGTGAAAGTGTTAAGCTATAGCTATAACTATATACATATGTAGTTATGTAACCGTTTTAAGAATGTCAATTAAAGCTAGAAAATAACTGTATTAAGAATGTCATCTTAAGCTTGATATAACTGTCTTAAGAATTACAATTTAAGCTAGAATACCTATGGTTGTTATAATAATGTTATTTACTTGATAAATTAAGCTACCATAAACCTGGCATAAAAATTTTAACTAGCTGTTTTAAAAGTGCCAATTTAAGCTAAAAAATGTATTAAGAATTAATGCCAAATTAAGCTATATAGGTAGGTATGTTTTAAGAATGTCAACTTAATCTGGAATAATATTATATTATAGCTGCCTTTTAAGAATGTTAACTTAAACTAGATATCATTTGTTTTAATATAAAATGCTATATAGCAATTCTATAAATTGTAAAACATTTAGAATGTTGAATTCCTTCTTAAACCTTTAACCCTAAATGTGAAATCCAGGAAACCTGACAACCCTGCATGATTGGGAAATAAGTATTGCCCAGTATAATATTAGGAATACCTTAGACCTAATATACTTACATCAAAAACAATAGGTCTATATAATTTAATGTTTGTCCAATGGACTAGGATAAGTAATAATTTTGTTAAGTTGTACCATTTCCTGTGTAAAATACTGTGAGTAATAGCTTTCATTAAACAATTGGGCGAGTTCCAACTTAATCTACTTTGTGAATTCATTTTTGATGTGCATTGTTCTACAGCGTTTTTCTTAACTTCAACCTCATCCATTTTTTCCAAAAACGCCATCATTTTCTTAGAAGAAACAGTAGGCATCTTAAATTTATTATTTTTGCGCCATTTATTATATGCTTGTTCATCTTCGTCCGAAGTTTCCTCTATATTTTCTTTTATATTTAAAGTTTTACCCATGACTTTTTCAGTTTCTTTTTTTAATAAGTATTCTATTAGTTTGTCCCTTGTAATTTGTATACAAAGTTGATTTTGCGCCATAACATCAATTAAATGATTTTCTTTGAACTTTCTTTCAGTTTTGAGGTACAACTTTTTACCAATGTTTTTTATTGTGCATTCTTTCTTTATTCTACTTTCGATTTCTGCGTTTATTAGCTTAGCTTCTATAGATTTTATCCTACCCATTCTTATATGAAATCAGTTCTCAGACAACTTATAAAATATATAAGGATTTTCAAATATTTAAAGTACACCTGTCAATCTTAAACATAACCTTATTTTCTTCTTCTTCTTTTGGTTATGTTGTCTGACGTGTAAAATCAGTTGGCGACAGTGATTTTTGACAACAGCCACCTCATCGATTGTCAAACTTCCAGCAGGTTTATTTTTAAAATTGATGGAAAGTGTTTTATGATTAAAAACAACATAAAAAATTAACAAAAATAGATTGTAAACGTTAAAATGAACCGGTGGTTTTCTTTGATTTCGATTTTGCTGTGCGTTTCGTACGGAAGCTGTATAATGTGGACTTTGCAACCGAACACACAAAAATGTTTAAGGGAAGAACTGCAACAGAACGTACCGGTTATCGGAGAATTTGAGGTGTCTGAGGCCCCCGGACAAACTATTGATTATGTGGTAAGTATGGTGTTTTTGTCATTGCCGCAGAAGATTTATGATGATTTTTAGGTTACAGATTCCAAGGGCCATATTTTAGCCAAAAGGCAGGATGTTAGCAAGGGAAAATTCTCCTTTAACACTGAGAGTTACGATACTTATGAAATCTGTTTTGTTTCCCATGTACCACCAAGTAAGATGAAGAAATTAAAACTTTCATTTAATAATAATGTTATTTTATAGATCAACGTGGAATTTCACAAGAAGTTTCTTTAATAACTAAACATGGAGTGGAAACTAAAAATTATGATACTGTGAGTAACAAAACAACAAAATTAATTATCTTATTATTTTATTATTTTAGTATGGGGAAGCAGCCCAATTAAAACCTATAGAAAAAGAATTAAAACGGTTAGAGGACTTATCCAGTGCTATCGTGCAAGATTTTGCCTTCATGAGAAAAAGAGAGGAAGAAATGAGAGATACAAATGGTAATATTTTAATTTTATCCAAATTATAATTATAATTTTTTTAATTTTAGAATCCACAAATTCCCGAGTATTATACTTCTCAATTTTATCTATGTTGTGTTTGTTGGGTCTGGCAACATGGCAAGTACTATACTTAAGAAGGTATTTCAAAGCTAAGAAACTTATCGAGTAAAATATTTCCAAATTTTGCCAACTTGTTATTTTTTATGAAGTTTTTTTGTTATTTCTCAATTTACATCTGCAACAACAATATTATGAAAAGTTTTAAACTGTACATTTTTACACCGATTTGTACGCAAAATTATTGGACAATAACAGTTTAAAACTAAAAAGAAAATCTGTTGATTTAGCGTTACGCTACAAATAAGACTCCTCAGCAGATTTTAAACTTAATTTATTATTAGAATTTTTGTATAATAATACATTCACAACTTGTAACATAAAATAAAATTCATAATTTTTTAATAATATACTTTTTTCTATCCCCAAATGATATTTTCATCATTTAGATCATCATTTCATTTTGTATATGGAAATATTGCAATAAATGTTGTAATATAATAAATACTGTTCTAATCATATTTTGAGACTTGAAATTTTATGGGGGTCAAAAATGCTTTGTTTAAAAATTGTTATTTCATGGAAAAGTTAAAAAAAAATAGAAAATATGTACAATTTTTAAATCCAGCCATAAATAAGAATTGAATACTAAATGCTCCAATAATTTCCTAAAATTAGAAAATAGTGTAATATTTTGCGGTTTTAGGCATTTATTCTGGTTGAAAAATCAAATGGTTAAAAAAAATTTTTTATTTAAACAAAAATAAAAAAATTTATTCTCTTCAAAATAAACCTAAAAATTAACAAAAAATTTTGGAGTTTTTGTAATTTTTACACATTTATTTTAAAAAAACTTTGTTGTTAAGATGTGGGCAACCTAAAATCAAAAATATTACTCAACAGGCAATCATTTGTTTTAAATAATAACTTACCACCAATTGTATTTAAAACTTTTGAGTTTTTTGAGTTAATATTTTTCGTTTAATTCATTTGATGGCAAGGTTTCAAAACTATTCGATTTCCTGGTATATCATCTTCATCAGATTCTTAATTTTTGCAAGAATATTTTATGGTGCCTATAAAAGCAAATTATTATTAATCTTACAAATAAGTATATTCATATTTTTTATTTGAATAAAAAAATACCTATAGTATACTTGATGGCATCAAGTTGATGCACTTTGCATATCTTTGTCACATTGAGTTAACATTTTATAGATTATATTTCAAATAAAATTAGTTAGTAAAATAGAATTAAAAATAAGGAAGAACATTTAATTATAAAAGAACAGCCATAAATGGAGCCCTCTCGTTTTGGGCAAGTGTTTGTTCTTCTTCACCAATGGTAGTTATGGTTAAAAGTCGTGTGAAACTCTTTTAAATAAATTACATAAAAACATACCAGCAAAACTTAAAAAAACTGGCAAAAATATTAGACTATGCAATACCCGGGTACATTCTAAAGTAGAAAATTCGGAATATTTGGGATTTTACGACTATACCAGAAAATTTGATAAGTGTTATTCCAGAGAATACCTAATAGTGTAAATCTGTCTTAAAAATATGCTTTTGTTTTTTGCTCAGAAACTCCAAAATTGTATGGCTTTGGATTAACAATTTAAAAAAGGTTTATTTGGAGATATTGAAATAATTTCAATGAAATTCGATTTTTTTACTATTTCCTCCTTTAAATTTGAAACCTTAATATTTCATGCAGGCTAAACATAACTAGAAATTATGTAAAAAGACAAGGTTAGTAGGATACCAAATATCCAGGTCTACAAAATTGTTGAGCACATTAAAACCTTCAGAAAAATATAGTTTGGTTTTTGTTTAAAAAAAACTTGTGGATAAATACAAAAACTTGAGTACTCTTTTTCTAGCTAGTGTAACGAAGTTACTTTTTCCCTTTTCCTACCCTGTGTTACAGAATCCCGATTTAAATGATTTAATTCACGTAAGTCATAAACAACCCCGGAATAGCCCATATGTAGCGCTACCACCGGAATGACCCGTATGATAGTTAAAGCGCACAGCAAAAAGTAGCAAGATTGTTTACTTGTGCCCTTCTACGAAATTCCACTTTTATTTTCGGATTATTCTTTGTAAAGTCTTATTCCATTTTATTTATTGTTTTGTACATACGAGGGATTATTTTAATATATGTATTAACCGAACCACTCAATTTATTCATAAATTCCCCGGAATCCTGGAATTTTATCTCCACTGTTGACCCTAAAAGCTACCCTCGCACATAGTGGAACTTCAACCACTTTAAACCCATTGAAGTTGGCGCCCGAGATTTTATTAGAAAGTCAGCAAGGTAAGTGACGCCAAGCTTAAAAAGGAAAGTTTTCCCCTGGGAAATAAAACTCTTTTACACTAGTAATTTGTTTCACCAACAGGACTTACCAAACAATTATTAACAAAATTACTTGTCGACCCGTTTATTAATTTACAAAAACCGCGTCTATACTTCAAATTAAGAAAGTTATTTATAAAATAACTAGTTTTTTTGGGGCGATTTAAAATGAAAATTCCTGAAATACAGGGTAGGGCACAGGCACCGTCTGATATTTGAAATAATCATAAAAACTGTATTTATTGTTCCAAAAAAACAATTTTATTGCTATATATTATTCGTTATAACATAGCATTTAACATTTTAGTCAAAAATTACTTATTGTCGCAACGAAAAAGCAGCCACTAATAATTCTCGTCAATAGAAATTTGTATCCCGAACATTTGGCAGTAAATTTCCATGTAAAATTCCCCTGAATCCAAAAATGTGAAAAGTAAGAACAGTAGAACAGTTTTTGAGATATATATATCTTATAAATAAACAAATTATTGATGATATTAATAATTATAATAATAATTATAATAATTACAAATTAAAATGTTACACTTAAAATTTTATCGCGTTTTACCAAACTTTTTTGAGAATATTCAAGCAAATTCAAACTAAAAATGACTAAAAATGTATTAAATTATACAAAACTACATACATCGCATCAATACCAACATAGAGATTGAATGAATATCGATGTGTACTGTAAGCGTACACCCCCCCCCCCCCAGCAAAGAATCTGTAAAAGTTACACCCCAAGTGATAAATGAAATATAACACCACGGCAAATGTTATATTAAATTACGACAAATAAATAAATAAAATACTTACGGTAATAAAGCTCATTAATTTAGTAACCCAAGGTACTTGTGAGGTGTTGTATTCATGGGGAAAGTATTTAAAATGGAAATAAAAAATACAGCAAATAAAAGGCAATAAGTTACGTTTGAACTCAGGTCAAAAACCCGGAAGGCTCCCGTTTATTTTTTTTATAAGTATCGCTCATAAAACCTTCCAAAATGAGGGATTATGGGAGTGAGTTACACGTATAAAATATTTACAATTTATTACAAACAATAATGATATTTATTTGGATAGAGCAACAAAAATAACCGCAACCCAAACGACATTTAACTTAATGAACTCTGAAAGAAAAGGACCTCCTACAACCCTTTTAAAACCACACAATATCTCCTTGTTGCGACCACAACCCAAATATATTATAAATTAATAAATATATAAATCAGATAAATAATACATCATACTAGAGCTTAAGCTCTCGTTTTTCATTTTTAACTTTAAATTTGTTTCTTCGCTTTTTGCTGGTTTGTTTGTTTATTTGTTTGTTTGTTTATTTGTTTGTTTGTTTGGTGAAAGTAGATTGAGTCTTAGTCTCTATTTTTGTATTTTTAAATTTAACTTTATTCATCAAGCATTCCGTATGCAATAGGCCTCCATCATCCAAATAAAGTTTTTATATTTATTATTTACTGTTCAATTTAAGTTTAGTGTTACACAAATTTTCATGTAATATTTATTAGAGTTCAGGCCCAATCAACTGTTGGAAAAGGAGTAAATAATGATTAGGCCGCGATTGCTTCAACTGAGGGTCCGCAATTGTCTATTATGCCTCATTTGTCGGCAAACTTTAATAAATTAATAATTACCATAAAATACTAGGTAATCGAAATGACACAACGCCCAACGTTGGTACCAGATGAAACAAACGGTCGTCACCTAATAAAATTTACAGGTTAGTAATTCAAAATGGGCTTGTTGCATCATGGACTCCACGGGCAGTGGATAAATTAAATGTCGCTATCGTACAATCACTGTTGCTACTGACTCCAAATGTAATACCAAATATTTAAATATGACTGGTAAAATTACTAGTTAATTTCGGGACATAAATGTGAATCTGCGAGTACAATTTTAACAAATCCCGTATTTAAGAAAATCGATATTAAATACATTTAATTTACACAGCGTTTACGTTAAATCCCCTTTTTGAAATATTTATTAAAATTAATTAAATAATCTTAAGTACTGCCCTGACATTTAGCTTAATTAAATCGAATACGGTCCTGCCTATTTTAATTGGGTAAAATCCCCGTAAATTCCTGCTCTTTTAATTTGATAATTACTCGTTAAAAATCCCTGCCTTTTATTAGATAAAATACACGTACTGTCTGTCCACTCTAAGTTGGCTGAACTAAGGAATTTTGTTTTTTAGATATTAAAGAATTGTCGTACTGTGTGCTTTTAAAACAGATTTTATATTATAAATAATACTAGTATATAATATGTACTAGTATTATTTATAATTTAAAATCTGTTTTAAAAGCACACAGTACGACAATTCTTTAATATCTAAACTACAAAATTCCTTAGTTCCGCCAACTTAGAGTGGACAGACAGTACCAATTGTTTATAACTTAGAATATAAATTATAATACGAAATACCTAGTTTTAAACGTAAATTTTACAGCGTGGTTTCTAAAACGGCAGCCATTACGGCTAAATAGATCGAACGATGACGCCCAGTCAATTGATCGAATATTTATCTTTACACAAGGTATTTGTGTAAACTAATTATACCAAAATGCTCGGAAATATTTATACTACAATAATTTAGTTATTTAAAATGTACAAACCTACAAATTCCAACACTTTTCTGCACACACAATTTTTAAAACCCTTGTCGCTGCTCGGCTCTGCTCACAGAACACACAGAACACACAGAACATAAGAGAATTAAAAGCGCTGTAGTGAAAAGGGGCAACAGGCATTGTTTGATTTTTAAATCTAGCAGGCTTGGAAATCCGAGGTGCCTGTAAGCCATTGGTGGAAATATCCACACTATTTCTGCGGCGCGAATTTTGAATTTTTATTTAAAATATGGAATTATAACCGAAAATTGTTAAAATTTTATATTTTTTTTTGGGTTTTTAAAGAACCATATAGTTAATATTGTTCTTTAAAAATCAAAAAATATAAAATTTCAACAATTTTCGGTTATTTTCCACTAATTAAGTGGAAAAACGCACATTTTTGT